TGTCTGACATCATTTTATGCTATTCAGAACTTCAAATTTCAGACTTTTGTGGACATTTATTACAACTATATACAGTATAGTACACTTTGTGAAATTTGACCTGGGCCTGATCTTGACCTAGGCCGCCAAAACCGGGCACCCGTACTGTATAGGGACCTATACTGTGTCTACAAGTGTTCCAAATGTGGTGCTTTAATCCAGCATATCATGATCTTGCCCTAAATGAGGTCTAAGCCACCGGACTATTGGGAACAACTTCTGTTTGTGTTATTATTTTACCCCTTTTGGGGGCTTTTCCACAAAATTGCGGAAAAGCCTTTGTTTTTGTTCGAGTTTTTTTCTTCTTTTTGTTCTATCCCAAATCCCATAGACTTTGTACACATCTTTTCGCAGTGCCACTTTTGGCATTCATCCTTGTTATTCACCATTCAAAGTTAGCATAGGCATAGTCCTTATAGCAAGCTGTGTCCCGAAGAGTTATGTCAGGATGTCATCATGGGTCATTTGATGTCATCTTAGGCGGGAAATCCATATGTCCTGTTGTGCATTTACCAGTTGCGTATCCATGATGCGTACTCTGTATTAAAAGCGTCAAAAGTGGAGAACCGTACTTTCCCATTTTCTGCTAGTATAGAATTGTAGGTTTTTTGAAATTGTAACACCTGTTTTTAAAAAACTCAATTTTGTGCTAGTAGAAATTTGGATTTTACTTGACGAGTTTCTCAGCGCCTCAAAAGTGGACAACTAGTAACCTCAAATTCTTACTAGCACAAATTATGATGGTCTAAAAGTGGACAACCCCGTTTTCCCATTTCCTGCTAGCAAAAACTTAGTTTTTAGATGTCAAAACGCCCATTTTTAAGAAACTCAAATTTACGATAGCTATGATCGGCCCCTTAAAAGTGGACAACTAAAAAAACGTAATTTCTGTTAGTAAATAGCCCGTAGAAGGTGTGGGCAGGACGCGTGATGAGCGGGAGCAAGCTGAGCCGGAAATCAAAACTTAGTTCCAAAGGAGGACCATAATGGAGGATACATAATGGCTGAGCCTGAAACAATACAACGGACCGTTAGATCATAGTGTTACGACGCAATATATAGCCAACAGAAATTACGTTTTTTTAGTTGTCCACTTTTGAGGTGCCGACATAGCCATAAAAGTAAAATCTAAATTTCTGCAAGCAGAAAATTTAGGTTTTTTTTTTAAAACGGGTGTTTTGACTTCTAAAATCTAAATTTCTGCTAGCTGGAAATGGGAAAATGGGGTTGTCCACTTTTGAACCATCATAAATTTTGCTAGTAAGATTTTAGTTTTTTTTAATTTCCGCAAGCAGAAAATTAATAATAATTAATAATAATAATTCCATGTTTTATCAATGGAGTACTTGACAATTGAAATCGAGGCAGGCCCTAGTTTGTTTCAATAATATTCACATATAAAGTGCTTAGTTTTAAAGCCAACCATAAATAGTTATCCTTTTGCCCCACCACTTCATCGTTTTTTTTTAAGTTGCAGGCAACGAATGCCACCCGTGTTGGATGCATCGTCCATTTCAATTGCTACCTGAAGCGTATATTAGATTTAGCGCATTTAACGGATAGCGCAGTACTGAAAGCGCACTGTGCTATACGGATGCATGTATGGAGCGCTAAAAGTGGACAACAGTATTGTCCCATTTTCTGCTAGTAGAATTTTAGGTTTTTAGAAATTGTAACACCGGCTTTTTAAAAAAATAATTTTCTGCTAGCAGAAATTTTGATTTTACTATCTAAGCGCCTCAGAAATGGACAACTAAAAATCTCAAATTCTTGGCAAATAATGCTCCAAAACTGGATAACCCCGTTTTCCCATTTCATGCTTGCAGAAAATTAGATTTTAGAAGACACAACAACCATTTTTATTTCAGAGTAGACATAAGGTCTGACTCGGTCTATTAAAAAGTGGTGGGGGTTGGGAATTAGAAAAATTAAAAAGCAAGAAATTTCTGCTATCAGCATGTTCTAGAAAAAAATATTTACGTGACATTGTGATTTTACCCTTTATAGATTGTTTCTATTTAAAAAAATTTTTTAGCATTCTTTTAATTTTCATCACTTTATCTAGCAAACACTGCTCATTTTTGTAATAGGAAGAAGACTTATCGTTACAGAACTTTGTACATGAAATTGTTCATTGACATTACTGCAAGAGAAAGCATAAACTCGTACAAAAATGAACAGATGAACAGAACATATTGCTTATCCGCATTATGTTTTTTTATGAATTTATGTTTTGTTTACATCCCTATGCAGTTAGGAAAAGTATGTGCAACAACATGGTACATTCCATCCTGCCAGCTCTCCCACTCAAAAGATTGTTATGAGGATCAAACCACTGTGTGAAATGGGGGTGGACAATTCCTCACTGTTTTCAAGAAGAGACACATGTTATAATTTGAAGAAAAAGCATTTTCGAGATAATCGCAGGAGAAGTTTCTCCTATTTTAAAACTGCAAAAAATACTACTTGGCAACAACTTTGTGCAAAAAGGAAATCTTCATATGATTCTGTGGAAGGGGGAGTTTTACGTGAATCCGGTAATTAGAATGAACACGGTGGTTAATTAACCAAAAATTAATTTGTAAAGATGCGCGTCCCTTCGTGAAAACAAACAATTAAGTTTTCCTACATTTACGCCCTTTTCTGTTCAATGTGTATGTCCATATGGAAGGGGACACGAACGCAGTTGAAAATGTAACAAAGATGCATGTCCCTTCATGAAAATGAAAATCTCAATTGACCTACTTTTACGCCTTTCTGTGCAATACGTTTTGTATGCATTCAAGGGGCAGGCACTTTTGCGTCTCTTCGTAAAAACACAACATGCAATTATGATTTTTTTAAAGATTTATAATTTCATTCCGCTTTCAAAATTGAACACTTCTTTTCTTCTGATTGACATCAAATTTAATACAAACCAAGACCACAATGACAAAATGTGCATTGACAAGTGTTGTCAAGATGACGTCATCGCAGGGCATGTGACGTCATGTGATAAAGCTTTATTTTTGAAATTATTCTAAGCATTTTGAACAATCTTTAACTGTATCAAGCACTCTAAAAAAATGACTGCAAAAGGACAAACATAATATAAACATTTGTACAATTAAATGCGAAAAGCCCTATGTTCTGTTCGAACAGACATAGGTCTAGTTTTCTTTGCAAATATTTTTTTTCTCTAAACCCTAATGACTTCTCTTACCATCATGTCAGGTTAAGGTATCAGATATCGTAGGATATGTTATTTACTAAACATATTCAAACATGTTGTATAAACCTCTAAAAATAAAACTAAATTACTTTGATAAGTTTGACAGTTTGGTAAGTATAAATGACATGTATCTGTACCTTTGTCATTGTAAGAGTTTGTATCATATCTCTGCTGTCACGATATACTGATCATTTAGCCTATGTTAAGTTTTGTTGGGATATTTGACTTTGTTTTAAAGGGAATATACAACATTTCTTAGAGAAACCCTAAAACCTTTTGAAAACTTTTCTCTGCGCATGTATGGGTGTGTGTGTCGGTAGGACTGTATGTTTTTTTATGGCACACTGCGATATTTTCGTAGGCTCCCCAATTTTTCGTAGGCCCCCGATTTTTTTCGTCAGCCCTAGGCACAGTACCTACTGTGCCTATTGGGTAATCCGGGCCTGGTGACAAGGTCATGTGACCCTTACCTCTGGTGTTAATAGAATTGTTAATGTTAGACCCTAATATTATCTAAATATCAATCTGATTGGGCTGATACCTTGTATGAGCATGAGGTGACATTCCTGCATTCCATTACCATGTAATCTATTGTTCTAGTGTAACAAGGGCTTGAATATTTCATTAGGCAATGTTATAGCAATCATTTCTCAGCAGTATGATATGCTTTGATACTGATTCTTTCATACTGCAGTTTTCGTATTGCATCATAGTGTACTGAAGGGTTACAGCCTGATAGTCCGAAGGTTCGATAGTCGAAGGTTCTTTAGTCCGAAGGTTCGTTCGTCCGAAGGTTGAATAGTCTGAAGGTTCGATAATCTGAAGGTTCGATAGTCCGAAGGGCCTATTAGTCCGAAAATACAATAAGGTTAATTAATCCGAAGGCTCGATAGTCCGAATAGACGATAGGGTGCGATAGTCCGAAAATACAATAGGGTCGATAGTCCGAACTGACAATAAGGTTCGATAGTACGAAAGGATAATATTGTTCGATAGTCCGAAAGGATAATACGGTTCGTCAGTCTGACACTTCGGCCTATCGGACCTTACTGTTGATTCGGACTATCGGACCTTATTGTCGATTCGGACTATCGAACCTTATTTTCAATTCGGAATAATGAACTTTCGGACTATTGAACCTTATTTTTGTTTCGGACTAACGGACCTTCGGACTGATTAACCTTATTCTAAATTCAGACTACCGAACCTTCAGATTAATGGTCCTTCGAACTATTGCATCAAATGTTCGGATTAACGAACCTTATTTTATGTTCGGACTAACGAACCCCCTCTAATGGAAATTTTGTGCATTCGGACTATCGAACCTTCGGACGATCGGACCTTCGGACTATCGGGCGACCCCCTACTGAAGGTGTGCCTGCTGAAATGTCAAGGTCATGCATGTCACTCTTACATCCTGTGTTAACAGAAGTGAAATTATTTTTGATTATAATATCAATTTTACAGAGACAGTTTTTGTTTGTAAATCATTCAATCATTTAGTACCATCCAGTAGACAATCAAAAACAGCTTTGTGGTTCAGTTACAACCACAATCTCTAGTTTTGCTTGTAATCTTCCAAAACTTAAAGATATATGCTATTCTTGATACTTAAAACTTTTAATTGGGTATTCTACCCCTGGGCTATATCTTCCTTATTCCTGCTAAATCCTCCAAACCTCCCCTGTGGAGTTTGCAGGTTTTGGGAGGATATTAATTAACCTACTATCAATTGTGTTTGCTATTACAGAGGGGACTGGTTACTCCAGTTTATATACCGTGCAGCCTCAGTTCAAATGATAGATATCGCTGGACTTGAGCCCATTGCCTGGAAGGACAGACGGATGGTCAATGTGGATCTTACTGAAATAGTAAGTCTCTGCAGGTTCAGTTAAATCAAAACCCCCTTATTTTCTTGTCACTGGAAGCTTTTGAATCCATTGAAATCTATCAATCGCTGGAGGATCAGGTGGGTTGACTGAGGAACACAGCCCCAATTCATCATAATTGTTGTAGCTGCTGGCCCCAGACACCGTCAAGAACAGCACATGATGTCACATGACGTCATTGTTGGTTTTAAGTTGTGAACAGCCAATCCCCCCCCCCCCCCCCCCGATACGAATCGTTTGTTATACCACGGTAATAGATTGCGAATTTTTATTGGTCGAGAGTGAATGATGTGACATGCCACAAAAATGCATGAGCAATGCCGTGGTACATGATTATGTACCCCATGGGGTACATTACCTTGATCTTTCCCACTGTTGAAAAGTTCATTTCCACCACGTTGTATTATATTAATGTGACCTCGGGTATGAGGTTGTAGCTACACTGGTACTACGTAAATTGATGTATGTTCCTGTGAGATGTGCCACGGGGGACAGTGAAGTACTATTTCTGCCTCGATACAGCCGCCATTGTTGTTTACATCGTTCGTCACTGTTCATCTCCTTATTTTAACTGTGCCAATTTTACCGTAATTTCACCGTAACAATGTCGGCAGATGACAACAGTCATATAAATTATATTTTTTTGTTCGAAGTTCATAAGAGTTATATTGAGGTAGTATAGCCAACAGATATACAATATAAAATAAAATCACATGCCCTACGATGACGTCTTCTTGATAACACTTGTCAATGCACACTTTCTCATTGTGGTCTTGGTTTGTATTTAGCTTGAAGTCAATCCAATGAAAGGAAGTGTTAAATTTTGGAAGTGGAATGAAATTGCAAGTATCAAAAAATCATAAAAAATCAACCGATGATGTCATGGTGGCGTCATTTCGGATTTTGCATACTTGTGACACCATCTACCTATCCACCAAGTTTCAGGACGATCGAAGTTTCCCTTATATGGGTTTTTAAAAATTGCATTTTTGATGACGTCATGATGACGTCACACATTTTTCAAAATTGTGTGCATATACCTATTACCTAACAAACATAATGCAAAAAGAATTTTGAATTTTACACGCTGCGTTCGTGAGAAATGGCTTAAAGGTCCAAAAATACAAAAAATCATATAAAATCGCACGATGACCTCATCATGACGTCACTTAACACATCCCGGTCTACCTACATACCGAGTTTCAACCCAATCGGACTTACAGTTCTGTAGATATATAGGCCTTTAAAATATGCACATTTCAGATGACGTCATGTTACCCATGATGACGTCATGATGACGTCAATCTTCGGGACACAACTTTGCTATAGGGACTATGCCTATGGTAACTGAATGATGTAGGACAAAGATTAATGCCAAAAGTGGCGTCGACAAAAGACATGTACAAAGTCTACGGGATTTAGGGTGTGAAACAAGAAGAAGAAGAAGAAGAAGAAGAAAAAAATCAGAACATAAACAAAGGCTTTTTCGCAACTTTGCGGAAAAGCCAAAAAAGAAAAGAAAGAAAAAATGTTAACAAAAACAAAGGCTATTTCGGCCGGTTGCCGAAACAGCCCCCCCCCCAAAAAAAAATCTTAACGAAAACAAAGGCTGTTTTGGCTGGTTGCCGAAACAGCCAATAACATGATTTTTGGCGTGCATTTTCTCAAGTTACAATGCGCGGCTTAGGACAACTCATTACAGATTATTTTGAAAGAACAGATCAGTTTTCAATCTACCCTTAAAGTTGTCAAGAGAACTGATGTTGCAGATGTTGTCTGACAAGGAATTCCAGCATTGGGTACCAGACACTGAGAAGGCCCTGTCCCCTGCCCTTTTGAAAGTGTGTGGAACTCTTAGGTTGTTACTGTAGCGGAGGCCTTAAGGTTGAGTGATCCCATGATGTACTGCGGCATTGCGTTACGAAGTGATTTGTGCATGAAATCTGCTGTTCTGTAATTGATGCGTTGTCTATTACTGGTAACCCATGTAATTGTTGAAGAAATGGAGATAAAGGCATGTGTGTATTTGGGTTAATAATGTGATACGGGCGGCATTGTTTTCAAGCCATTGGAGTCGATCAACATCATATTGATTAATACCATCGAGGAGGGAGTTGCAATAAACGAGTTTGGATAGCTTAAGTGCTCGGACAGCGGCGTGGCATGGGTTGTTGTCAATGTATTTACAAATCTTTGTAACAAATGTTCCTGTTGTGGTAATTGATATATTTGCACATATGTTTGCTACCTGTTTGCTCATTGTCATGGATCTGTCGAAAACAACATCCACGTTTCGGATTTTTCTGAGATGCTTTGATCGTTGTGTTAATAACTATCTGCAGAGTTATGTTGGTTAAGTGTTTCTGATGAGAAAATGCGGCAATGAAAAATACCTGCTCCTTTCCACTTCAAAGCGGAAAAGCATTGTTTTTTGTACTGATTTTTTGGGGCTTTTCTGCAAAATTGTGGAAAGCCTTCGTTTTTTGTTCTTCTTCCTACTTCTTCTTCCTACTTCTTGTTCCACACCCAAAATCCCATAGACATTGTCTATGTCAAAAAAGGGGGGTTCCGCTTTTCTTTACTCACCCTGTATACCAAAATTTGCGGGGGTAGGATAAGGGAAAATTTAAGTTGGAAAAAATGTGTGCACAACCCTATAGGGACGTCTCTCTAAGGTACCGTTTCCCGTAATCAGTAATATTATTAATTTGTGGTTGTTCACCTTCAGGTCAATGGCCATTTTGACTACGTGGAGAAAATGGATGAAATCCTCAATCACATTGGACTAAGGACAAGGGCTACTTGCATCTCCCGAAATCTGACTCAACGGACTAGGACTCCAACTGGGCCTTTTGATAGTGACCAATGCGCATCATCGTCTGGTTCAATTGATGATCGGGAAATAGACTATGCCATAATAGATGCAAAGGATTTGATTCTGTCTGCGGAAAATCCACCCATGGCTCAAGCAAACATTCCACATTGTGATTTGAAACTTGTTGTAACTGGTCACAACCAGCCGGAACCACTTCAGGTCGGTGCGAGCCACACTGAGCAAAAGGCTTGCTTGGTTTCAACCAGCAAGAGTGACGAGGCTCAGTTGTCAAAGGAGACGATTGGAGAAGCAGTTGCAAGGTTAGAGGAATGCTCTATTAGAAGTGAAGGGACTGCATCACTTGAGCATGGCCAAGATGTAGAGCTAGGTGAGAAGCCAGCAAGTTGAGCTGTGATATTTGGTAAAACTTTAAAGGTATAGTCCATCATTTGTAATTTGTGCATTTTGTTCGTTTGAAGCAACAAAAGTGCTAAAAAACAACTAACCTGATGAAGCTTCAGCTCAGCTCCAGACAGTATATTCCGAGAAAAACAGCATTCTGGGATCTTGATTTCAAATCAAAAGTTGCTGAATCATGTTTTGATTTGGGCCTGAATTCAGTGTCCGATACACGTTCTCACTGAGCCGATTGCAGCTACGCGATGTCGCGCACTGATCCGACGAATTATAGCAACCGAGGGCGCGTGTGCGTCATGCCAATGCTTGCGCGTGCTTTGCAGAATAACAAAATGAACTACTAATTTAAATTTCCTACGGTGCGTCTTAAGAAGCACCGTTGGAAAGGCCTTCATTCGTTGATTTCTTCAAAATGACAGCTTGCCAGAAAGAATTATTTCACAGGGAGTTTAGTGCCCTTACTATCTTTCAACCAAGTATGTTTTTTCAACAATAATTACGTCAGTTACTTATCGGATAGCTGCAAATGATGGACTCTAGCTTTAAAGGCACAACACTGGATTGAATGCCGTAGCAACTAGCAAACTAATTAGGGTTCAACGCGTGTAGATTTCCTAGGCTATTTTGACCGTTTGAACAACATATCCTAAGGTCTACACTCCAGACAGATATTGATTTCTCCTGAAGGATGCTCTCTTTAGTACTTGTGTACAATTTACATGTAAGGTTTCTTTTCACTCATAGAGTGAAAAACAATAGTTGTATTCATCAAGCTATGCTGTGAAGAATTATTCATTTAAAATATAGTAATTTAACATAATAAAAAGAGAGGGCACTTTGTACCACTTTCAAGAGCCCTTGGATAGGAAACACCATGTGCGCGTACTGGTTGGCGTGCGTATCGTGCGAAGTATGCACGGCTAACTTCATTCTCAATGTGTACGTACAAAGCCATAGTGTTTTGGCTTTTTATTTCATTTGACGAGCACAACTCTCTCTACAATATATCCACATGAAAATGATTTTTACTTCTCTGTTTCAAATTCAGCATATGGAGTACTGACCTGAGCATTGTGCGATGTGATATCAATTTTGTTCATGTACCACTGATCATGACCAAGACGTATGAAGTAAGTCATTTTCCAGCTCCCACAAATTTGCTGAAAGCCTGATTCTCTTTGAAATTGAAATGGGCCAGAAAGGCGCTTCCTGCTAGTTGAGCATATGAAGATAGGCATCTCCATTAATTTGATATTTTGTTAAAAAAGGGACCAATCAGACGCCCGAGTCTATTTGATCCAATCCAGGCAAAACTTTCTGACCATAGTCCGGTGTAATGCAGAAGATTGGACATTTCATGTGAATACTTTTCCACACATCGTTCATTGTAAATGCAGCTTCTTCCCCGATCACACGGTGCTAGAAAGGGTCGTGTTGCTTAAGCAGCCAATTGCAGAAGTCTATTGGCCTTTCTGGCAAAAGCTTATGTCGTATCTGCAGACAATCAAGTCTTTGACCTCGGTGCTCCTGTGGGATTGCATCGTGTACTTAAAACTTAAGGTGGGATTTTTCTGCAGGGGAGCTCATACAAGCTTGCAATTTGCAACTGTTCTCTCTGTTCTTGGGTGACCAGAGTGTCCTTTGTTTGATTATGGCTAGTGCCATGGTCATGGAACTTGCATTAAATGCCTCCTGGAGACTTGCTGTAGTGGCGTATTCAAGAGCCATAAAGGTTTGCTGTTCAACGGTAAAATGCTGTCGTACCATGGTGAAGACCAAGTGTATCTGGCAATTTAGTAAGCTTCACTTACTACCAACCTTCTTACATACATGTAACATGTTTCATGGGTTAGGCCTAGCCACTCTTGAGATAACAGGGGCCTCAATCTACCTGGCTGAACTGGAAATTACATACACATTGTTGGAACAGAGAAATGGATTACTTCATTCATCTTGCCATGATATTACATCACACAATGCTTGAGTGAGTACACCATACACTAAAGTAAAAAAAAAATTATGGTAAAAATTGACTTATATCATATTAAATGAATGGGTAGTGCTAGGTAATGCATAACCGTATTGCTCTATGAAAAACTAAAGTAAGTAAGATTTGAGGCATTGCATGGTGGATAAGATTTGGAAAATACATTGTTTAATCACCAAGCTCTTAAAAGCTCTGTCACGGACATTACGCAATGCCAGAATTGCCCAAATCTAGATAGCGGGCAGTGTTAAACCATGTGACCAAAACTGGCAGGGTTACTTCTGATTTCTGAAAATGTGAGAAGTTTCCTGAACTTGACACTCATGGTGAATACTGGTTTTATCCAACAAAAGCTGCCTGTCATGAGTGTTATCAGTCCTGAAAATTGAATTCATCAAATTGAAGCTTGCATCTTCTAAATTGGTTGCCAGGCATAATGCTCAGTTTCTGTATTTAAAACCCATTGAGGCATTGTTCTTTGGGTGTTCACTGGATGAGGAAAGAGCTTTGTTTCACCTTTTTTTTTTTTAATGCGAGGGTTAATCAACTGGTTTAAGTCGTATCTAACTGGTTTAAGTCATATCTAAGTAAACATAGTCAGTCTGTGAATATTGAGGGCTGCATATCTAAGGCTCTACCACTTAACACTGGCACTACAGGGATCAGTTCTAGGTCCACTGTTATTTATTATTATACATGTGACCTTTGGCTTTGTAATTTATTCATGCATGGTTGAGGACTTGACATTAAGTTGTACCGGTAGTTCTACCAGTGTTGATTAGATAGAGAACAATAGCCCTAGCAAGAATATACGATTGGTGTGGCAGGAACAAACTAACAATAAACGCCAGCAAAACCAAATCCATGCTAACTTACCAAAAGTCTGCAGTGCCGTCCTTAATGTCAGTATCACTGGTAGTCCAGTTATAAATGTGAACTCTTGTAAATGTTTTGGTGTTGTTATTGATGACACTTCAAGTTGGGGCCCGCACATTGAATATGTGAAGAAAAATGTTTCCTCTAAACTAGGTATGCTAAATAGAATCCGGACTATGTTCCCAAAGCAACCTGCACTCTCTTTTTGTTAGCTTAGTTATGCCATCTTTAGATATTGTAGTACTGTATGGGGAGGAAGGTACACAATATTCTTACTGAACGTCTAAAAAGAGCCGCATGGATAATCCTAAAGTGTGCATTCTTAACTCCTTAAGCCGATATGTTTGCCAGACTTAAGTGGTTGTCATTTTCAGAAAGAGTTGAGTATAAAAAGGTTATTCTTGTTTACAAATGTATAAACAAATTACTCCGTTGTATGACAAATCAGTTTACACCACTTAATCATATTCCTGAAACGAGACAATCCACTGATATGGCACTGATGGTTCCTTTAGAGAAAATAAGAACCCTCAAGCTTTTTGTAACTGGTACAGTCATTATGGAACAACTTGCATGTACGGTTGAGAACCATGACTTTTCTAACCTCATTCAAATCTAAACTACGTAAAACATTCATTCAGTAATATTACTGCAAATATGGGCATATTTTTTCGCTGTTTTGACTGATTATACAAATCTAAATCTGTGCTGATATATACAGAGTTCACAAACTTGGTTACCATAATAATAATGAGCCAGATGGGAATTTTCCTGTCTTTTCTCCCAAAAGGGATCAGTGAATACACATGTACAGAATGTAAAAAAAAAGAAGGGAAATCGAGCTTATTTTGTTGATTTCTCGGTATGACTAATTATTTAGGAAAATGGTAACCACTATCTGTTACATTACCATGTCTTCTTTTTCTTGACACCAGGAACTCCATTTTACCGTCATGGATGACTGAGCACCAAGTGATGTAACTGACATGCCAGAAATGGCCTTGTACCACATGCACCATAAGATCAATTGACAGTTTTCAACATGTTGAAAATAACAAATCCAGGACGTACATTATCAAAGTCAATCATTCAATTGCTAAAACATATCAAGGCTTATCACTGTCCCCGTTAACCCCACTGTCCTTCAACATGCCCCCCATTCTTTTCAACGCAAATCTCTGCCCTGGTTCTCATTGCTATGAACGCATTCCTGATAACGTCTCTCTCTCTCATAACTGTCGATTGGTCTTATAGTGAATGTGGTACAAGGCCATTTTTGGCATGTCAGTTACATCACTTGGTGCTCAGTCATCCGTGACGGTAAAATGGAGTTCGTGGTGTCAAGAAAAAGACATGGTTATGTAACAGATGGTGGTTACCACTTTCCTAAATAATTAGTCATACCCGAGAAATCAACAAAATAAGCTCGGTTTCCTTCTTCTTTTTTTTAAACACCTGTATAGCCATATTTTGTTGATGTCACAAGATATGCCAAAGTAGTGTTGGTTCACACTGTACATGTAGTTGTAATAGTTTTACAATATTTATAATAGTTGCTCAACAGTTAGGCATTAATCCCATATGCTTTTATTTTGTGGTATTGTATTTGTAATGTATTGAATTTGTACATTTTTCATGTGATATGGAAAAGGTTGTAAGCAGCCCAGGCACGCAAAAAGCACTTTTGGAGATAATTGAGTTGAAGGTTTTGCGCTCCCATTTCGAAATTAAAGATCACATAGAGTTAAATTTTGACTGATGAAATGCATTAATATTTAAAATAACATTGTGAATTTTTATGTCAAAATAATACTTTATTGTGAAGTTATTGTAATTTTTATGCTAACGACCTTTTACCAGGAACTTCTCAAGCCTTAAACGTACGCTTAAGTAGCATGTTAAATCCTTACAACCTTTTGCTGGCAACAAAATTGGGTTTGCGTACTCACTTGAGTGGGACGTTTGCACCCTTGGAATAAGCCTCCGTACAAATGACGTCACACTTTGTTTACATGTGCACTTTCCTACAGAGCCAGTGGGGGTCCATGGTCCACTGAGCACCATAGGAAAGCACACATGTAAACAAAGTGTGATGTCATTAGTACAGAGGCTTATTACCGCTTACCAATTTTTGTTGGGCACATATAACGAAACACCTCCTTCCATCTGTTGTTAACTGTTAATTACGTCAGAATGATGTAGCCCCTTTAGACAATATGTGTATTAAATGAAAGATATTTCCGAGCTCTATCAATTACCGTCAAAATCACAATTTGACCTTTTGACCCATTTTCGGCCCTCATGACCTTCCAGGCGCCCTCATGTATGCAGGCCCCAATGGAAACCAGTTTAAACTGTTTGGGCATACCCTGGGTAAAGAAATGTAATAAATAAAACCTGACTCACCATCTTTGAATAGATGCGAGAAATCATCAGGTCAGGGAACCAGACTAAACTTATTATGTGTTCTGTTAAGAATAGAATCAAAGCACTATACAGCCAGTAAATAGATACCGGTATCAGTGGAATGAATGAGCAGTGCGTATGAGCGAAGGTGGCATATTTGTAGATAGTTGCTGACAAGGAGACCATTTTGCCAACAACTAATGGAAGTGTCACACCCCTACCTCTCCAATGTCAGCTTGTTACCATCCTCTGATACAATGTAGCTCTTCTAAAGTGCATTCACCAGATGAGTCTGTGTTGTAGGCCCAACATGAAGAAATGACCCTTACAATATGAGTACCGAGTTTGAATGTGCACTTACATCTTTGAATTATTGTCATTTCATAACTCTCCATCCTCCCTTAGTTACACTTATATCATTTGGTGTACAATTGTTCACCAGGTGGATAGTGGTAGCGGTATATGCATTTATGGACAACACGGTCTAAAGAGTTTCAAAGACAATGAAACATTTTTGCAAGGTTAAGGTAACATTCCAACTGTTAACCTAACATGATTTATTATTGTTTTTAATTTATACTTCTCACTAATGTGTTTTCATATTAATATAACTATCAAAGCCCTGCATGCACAAATTTCTGTCAAAGCCCTCTTTTCAAAATGCTAAAAATTTGATTGGGATTCTATCAAGTGATCGATAGAATCATTTCTATCAGGACCATATGATTCAGATGTTTCGATTAAGTCTTAAAGGGGCATTACGACCTGAAATCCCCAAAATGTCATGTTTTGGATTGTTTACTTGTACTATTTCAAATGTCTGGTTGAAAGGAAACCAACCTAATGTCTTACAGTTCCCGAGTGGTACTATTCAATGTACACGACACGTTGTGTGTGTGGTACATTATATACGCAGCCCAATACACAAATGTATTTTACACGTCCACAGAATGCAAACCACTGTGCAGCTTGATCACTTCTAGCACTGAACAGCTCGATGTTTCCGAGACAAAATGTTAAACCCCCCCCCCCCCAATTTGTTCTTGCATGGTTCTCACAAGAATAACAAAAAAATGCCCAGTTTTTAAAGGATGGTTGTATGGATGTTTACATTTTCCTTAAATGCTCTATTTAATATCGTTTCGTTTAAAATGAGTTTTGTAGCCCAGATTGGGCGCATTCCAGGCCGTAACGTCCCTTTAAATGCAATCCTGTTTTTTCCTTTTGTTTTTAAGAATGATTGAATTATTTGTTTAATAAATCCTCTTGAAATTTTCTATTGTGTGCCAGAGTAATGAGGATCTTATTTGTCATTTGCCCAATGCATAATATTTATAGCGACATTTCATACTTTTCTGGCACTCCACCAATTCTATTTTTGTGATGGACCAGAAATGCAGCAGATTCATCTGTGTTGTATCTGCAAAGAGCATCCTAAATACCTCCTCTATAAAGCAGTGAGATTTTCTTACAAATTTGTCTGAAATTCAACCAGTAAATGTAACATCACCCAAAATTGGGTAGGGACAGAATTATGTTTACCAGTGTAACACATCAAAGAAGGTAAGATTTTTACAATATTAATCTTACATGTATTATTTCTTTAAAATGTTCAAACATTGATTAGTTTAATATTATTAGAATATTTGTAAAGGATGAGTTTACGTACCAGGAAATAAATTGATACATTAACATTCAATTATGAATGAGACAAGTTCTTTTTAAACTTGTTTTCTTTGAACGACACCCAATTGGAGAAAAGGTAGTTCAATCTAATGTGTTTGAGGTGAGCTAGTCCAAACATAAGCCTTTCAATTTAGATTATTAACTGCATTTCTAGTACTCTCATCAATCCCTAACAAAAACCAAAAAACTACAAAAACATAAATCTGCCACGAAAATAACCGTTGGGTTGTTACACAGAAGCCATGTACGCAATCAGATCCACCACACGGAAGCTGTACGCATATTCATTGTCATACCTACAGACAGAAATACAAATCAAAGCAAATACTGAACAAAAGTTGACATTTATTTTGATTAAAGACAATACTCTATTTTATGGTGCATTCTGCTTCACACCTTGACATATTGGTAGTTATGGGGTACCACTATTAGCCACCATTAATTGTGTTGTCTTATTGTACAGCCATACACTGACATCATCAAAACTGGGCTGTAGCAGATGCCCCAGCCAGCTTGTGCTTATGGCGAAGGAGTGCAGAACACTTTGGACTTTTACTTCCAATGGCTCACTTTGCCCTTTGATGCATGTCAGTGACCTATCTCTAGAAACTGATAAACAATTTAACTTACCATGAAACTAACTTAACAAAGTTGTCATTGAGAGCAATTCCTGCAGCAGCATCAAATATACTGGAGCGGGTATCTCCACGAAAATCCATAGACACAACCTGATAGATAACAAAGGTGATTGAGATCCAAGCTAAATACAACACTGACATATTTTGTAATGAGACAATAATAATGGGAGACCTTGGAGACGTTGGTGGCAGTAAACATGCCGGTCCTTTTTCCATTGTTTATGTCATATTGAGCATGCGCGCTTCAGCTTAAACATGACGTAAACAATTGAAAAGGACCGGTGTGTTTGCTGCCACCAACATCTCAAAAGTCTCCCATTGAAATAAGGTACGGTGTACAAACAAACCTAAGTACATGTATTCAGGTTTGATGACAGTTAATCTGCGAAGACTTTTTAGTCACAAGAAAAACAAAACAAGGAAATTACTCATGGAATTTCAGACTTTAAACTGTTAACTCCAATTATCCATCTACCTCCAAAGGGAATGCTACACTGATCAGAGATGAAACTGGCCTTGGCAAAACAAATCTGAAATTGAGTTGGTGTGTTTGGCAAAGTTTGCGGTAATCAATGGTGGGCCATCCGTGTGGATGTTCCTACAACCTCTAGTTTGAAATTATAATAACAAAAAAATGTTTTGTGGACAATTTATAAATAGTCATTTTTGTGGGATCGTTAAAAAAATCTGGAATCCCACTGGAAAAGTTTTTTAAAATCTGATTTCAGATTAAAATCTGAAATGTTTCATCTCTGACTGATAAAGACCTGTGTGTGTGAACTTTCTACACAAAATATAGAATCTTTAATCCAAATAGCTTGAAGCCATCCAATGCACAGGTTTACACAGATGATATTGCCTTGACTAGATACACATTTCATTCTATACTTTTTATTTGATTTATTGACTCAACCCTCATCACCCTTTGGTTTTGTCTTCTTTCCTTGTTCTTGTTTTCCTTGTTCTTGTTTTGGGGCGTTTTATTTCTGGAAAATAGTCCTCCACAATTTATCTTTTAAACAGAACAACTTATGAACTTGAAACTTGGTATAAAGTTCAACCCTGATGCAGAGATGTGCATACAAGTGGGACGTCCGGTATCAAATTACAAATGATTTGAATTCAAAAGGTGATGTTTCAATTATAACTTATGAACCAACTTCATTGTTGAGGGTGTGTTAATAACGTCATATCCCACATCACAGCGGTCAACAATTGTTACGTTAACAACCACACCTTATGTTCTGATAGACCATGCCTTGATGAACATGTTTGGTGTGTACGTGAAGTCCCTTGACTGTACATGTAACTTGAAAACAGAAGCATTTTGCTACAATAATAGCAACGAGGCAAATGTTTTGTAAGGGATGCCAAAAACAATACAAGTCATGATGACGTTGTCAATTGAAAGGGAACCCTCGATTGTCAAGTTTCAGATAGTGGACTTTTAGAATTCCAAGACGATTATTCCAAAATTTGCTTTGAAATGGTCCACAAATATACTTTGGATTGTATCAAATTAATTTGCAAAATTTCCAAATGAAGACGTCATCAGACCAGAGGTTTTTCTGGCGACTCTGAGGAGATTTTGAAAATGATAATTTGTTCCCTTCGTTTTATTCAAATATATCATTTAGTGCTCAACAGCGACAATCTTGGCACAAATGCTGATATCAATAACATTACTTGAAACCAGTAAGACTTGGTAAGAAAATAGATGATAAACCAAGACTTTTAAGGTCACAGTAAACAGTGTTAAAACAAAGTTCTCCTTCATGCCAAAAGCTTGAGAAGAAGCATAGAAACAAGGCAAGTGGCCGAAAGATGGTGACGATGCTGATGAAATAGCACCCACAATAACCCACATCTTCAAGCAGTCTTACTCTACCGGTGAGCTACCATCTGACTGGCGCAAGGCTTGTGTTGTAGGTACATGTACATGTATCTATAAGAAGGATAACAAGAGTGAACCAGCAAATTACCGTCCTGTCTCCTTGACCTGTTTATTCTGTAAAATCATGGAGCACCTAGTCCTGAGTCACATGGCAAAGTATATTACTGCCCAAAACATCATCATCGACAACCAACACGGTTTCCGTGAGAAATTGTCATGTGAAACTCAACTCATTGAAGCCGTAGATGACTGGGCCTCAGACAACAATAAGCACCAGACAGACGTCTTGTTTCTTGACTTCAGCAAGGCTTTTGACAAAGTAGCTCATCGCAATTTGTTGCATAAGCTGGAATACAACGGCATCAGAGGCAAAACCCGGGTGTGGATCAAAGGCTTCTTGAGTGGTAGGATCAAGCAAATTGCAGTCATTGGAACCTTGTCAGTATCTGCTGATATCATATCTGGAGTCCGCCATGGCTCAGTGCTTGGTCCAGCTCTGTTCCTTCTGTATATCAGTGACATCAGCGAAGGCGTTGTGTCAACAATGAGGTTCTTTGCTGATGATAGTGTCATATACATGTACATATGTATCAAAACTTATGGAGATGTGGAGATCCTGTATTTAGCCCTGTCCGTACTGGACTTACTTTGGTAAAGCTTACCGAGACGATGGGTACTTTTCTCATTTTAAGTCCAGTGCAGACAGCCTGGGACGTTTTCCTCTCAGTTACTTTTCCTGAGTCTACATCTACTGGCCAACTGCTGCCCATGAAAACTGAGCAGGTCACACGTTTCCCGAGACGATGAGTCCAGTGGGGATAGTGGAGTCGGTAAAAGCGGCTCAGGAAAGCGTGCATCCAGCCCGAGTGCAAGTGCTCAGTGTGACCAAAACTTTTGTAGAAACACGCTGTGACATGTGGTGTATCAAGTCCAAGCGGGAAAATCTTGTTATAAATATATTTTAATGGAAAATACATACACAGAAAAGAGAGATCACGTTCTGGGAATTAATGTGCAGAAATTCTCTTTCTCCACCGAGTGTTTGGTATTTTCTACGATCCAAATTCATCCTGTTACTCTATGTAGTAGTGCATGGTACATGTAGGCCATAGTCACTGGTTCCGGTCCTACATGATACATTGATTCTGTTGGCATGTGGTAGGAACCAGCGATTTTGAGACATTGGTTTGGTGCGTAATAAAAGTAGATCACAAGTAAGAACTTCTTGTTGATTTATTTGTGTTATCGAAGCCCAAGTAGTAGTGAAGACAATGACGGAAAGCTGATACAGCAATTGGAACGTTTGAAGAGCTCTAAGTTTAGTCATGTACTGCTGGTCGGAGATTTTAACTTGACGGCAACTTGTGCTTGTGCCTCAAAATAAAGACCATGCGTACTGCCAAGTGGCGATGCTTTGTGCTCTGCGTTCACTGGAATTCACGGTCTCCCCTCATGTAAAACCTCAAAAGAAACCGCCCATTCTGGACAAACTCTCAGTGCTGAGATTTGTTTTAAAAAGTTTTTGCAATATGCTCTAGAGAAAGCCATGGAAAATTGGGACTAAATATTGATTTATTATATACTTTTGATTTATTGTATTTTTTTTATCTAAGTGTCATCTTTATGATTTTTAACTTTTACATGGGATAATGTATATTGATTATTCTCGAAACTGGATTTCCAATATATCGATTATTAAACAATTCTGATATTGAAGGTGCTTAATTAATACATATACTGTACCTGTTCTTCTGTATATCCCAGAATGTCTTTGAGTGGACCTTCTGCAGCTGCTTTGATGGCTCCTTTTATGTCATCATAGGATGCTGGCTTGTTCAGACGAACAGTCAGATCAACAACAGAAACATCCGGCACCGGAACACGGAAAGCCATTCCTGTAAGTTTTCTTTTAAACAACAAAAAAATGAACATGAACTTTGAAAATCCGGAAAAACAGTTTTAGCTCATTTTTACATGTACAACTGTAAATAACAGCTAGATTTGCTTTTCTAAGAGGTAAATGAAATGCTACGTTAACCAACATTAACATGTTAACCCTAACCATGGGCGTCGCGAGGGGGGGGGCAAGGGGGGCACTTGCCTTCCTCTCCCCCCCCCTCCCCCCGAAAACGAAAAAAATAAAAAGGAAAAAGGAAAAATAAATCAATAAAAAATAACAGCGTTGCTGTTGAAACAGAGTCAAGTTATCATCAGGAGAAACCATTAACCTTTAACTCAACATGGTGACCTTTGACCTTTGACCCCAAAACCAATCCCAACTTGCCTACTCCCAAGGGCAACCCCCTACCAAAGTAAGAGACCAAAATCTCATTTCTAACTCAAGTTATCATCCGGAAACCATTAACCTTTAACTCACCACGGTGACCATGACCTTGGACCTTTTGACCCCAAAACCAATCCCAACTTGCCTACTCTCAAGGGCAACCCCCTACCAAAGTAAGACACAAAAATCTCATTTCTAACTCAAGTTATCATCCGGAAACCATTTACCTTTAACTCACCACGGTGACCTTGACCTTTGGACCTAAAAATCAATCCCAACTTGCCTTTTCCTAACGGCAACCCTACCGAAGTTACAATCCCAAACAACATTTCTAACTGAAGTTATCATCCGGAAACTAAGCTGCCCGGACGGACGGACGGACGGACGGACGCTGTAGGCGATGACAATACCCCTCGAGCATCTCGGCTGAGGGGTAAAAAGCAGCAGAACAACGAAGAACGATGCAAACAACAATGGCGGTCATAGCAGAAATAGTTCTTCACTGTCCCCCATGGCACATCTCACAGGAACAAGTGCAGGTGCATGCAAATCCAGATCGGCGCCCAATTTAGGCTGGCGTATGTTTAAAGTTGCGTTCCCCGTGCTATTTTTGACTTTCATCTTAAAAAAAAAACCACCCTGGGGCGGGAGGGTACTTAATGCTTGTGTATTAACCCCAGCATAATTTACAAGGAACCGTACCCATCCAGGCAAATTCCAACACCCACATGGGAAATCATACACACACACACTTTTGGACTTAAGTTTCTGAAGTATGCCAAACCCAATGTAAAAGACCATCACTTCAGGGGTACTGTACATGTACCTATCCCAACAGATTTCAACAACACCTGCTGTTGGACTTTGATGGATTGAGTTCGGTTAGGGTTAAAAAACAAATTTGAGACATCTTAGTGACAATTGACTTACCCCTGAAGCTTGGGAATAACTTTGCCAACAGCCTTGGCTGCACCGGTGGATGCTGGGATGATGTTTTGGTGAGCACCACGACCATCACGCCATTTCTGTCAGTATATAGCAAACAACATGACGAGTTACAAGGAACATTTGTAACTAAAGCAAAATTGTTTTTAAGACTATACAGGAACCTATTAAAGCTGAGTCTTCAAATGTGTACATGTACATTCATGTACATACGTAACTAAAAATAGCCGAACTTGGCCTTCCGAACTGAACCCGAACCGAAACGAACCCAAATGTCGGTTCGTAAGAGTTCGGCAAGTATTTGTTGATAGCGCTAGGAATGCTAATGCTTGCAATGAAAGGGCAAAATTAAAGCGCACGGATGATTGAATTTACCGTGTTGACAAGTCACCGCATTCATCTTCATTATTTGCGATGTTCTAGCCAGGCATACAATAGGATATCGGGCTGATACGCTTTGAAAAAATTGTACGCACCTGCAATTCTCTCAATGAAAAGCGTTCTCTTTGGCCAGCGCGGCTGATATCCCAATAGAAATATCCCGCTGATATACATGTAGGCCGACCTTGCAAAAAGTGCTGTTTTATCTTTTCTGGACATTGCAAAAACTCAAACTCCTTTCAATTCCTTTTCTATGTAAAATTGTCCCGTTTTTGTTGCCTTGGAAGTCATGATGATGTCACATAAACTTCGAAAAAATTTTTTGTTAATACCACGAACATGATGAAAACTTTGTATGGCAATCTTTAGGGCGCCATCTTAAAAAGTGTGTGTATGACACATAATAGACATGCAAACCCTGCTAGACAAAATGGTGCATCAAGGTGAACTGATGGGTCTCCAGATTAACATCGGGAAGACAAAACTGATGGTAATAGAGGGGGCAGATGAAACAATGACAGATATTTTCATCAATGGACAAGAGGTGGAAGGGGTATCAAACTTCAATTATCTTGCTTGCCTGATAACTGGAACCAAGAAATACCACCACATCACACCAATACTTCCTCAACTTCACTGGCTGCCCGTTCAGTTCAGAATTCAGTTCAAGATCATCTTTCTCACTTTTAAGGCACTTCATCAACTGGCTCCAATCTACATCCAGAACCTGATACACCTTCGCAATGTGAGGCCTGGTCTGCGGTCCTCGGCTCTCACACTCCATGTACCCATATCCCGCCTTGCCAGCTACGGAGACAGAGCCTTCTCTCATATTGCACCTCGTCTATGGAATTCACTACCGCTTGACCTCAGAACACAGCATAATCCATCATCCTTCAAACGACAGCTCAAGACTCATCTCTTCAACCGGGCATTTTGACTCCTGGACTGACTTTCCCTTGTAAAGACCAGCGCCTTTGAATGGCATTTTGTCAGATACTGCGCGCTATACAAGTGCTGCTTATTATTATTATTATCCTTACAGTCAAGGATGGCTGTAGTGATAAAATCAAGAGATGACTGGCAATTGCAAGATCATCAATGACAACTCAAAAAAAATCTGGACTGAAACCAAAATTCAACAAGTTCAGTCACTTGTATTCCCCATTGCAACCTATGCTTGTGAAACTTGGACAATGAGCAAGGCGGACAGGAAACAAATCAATGCTTTTGAGCTATGGTGTTGGTACAGAATGTTAAGAATTCCGTGGACCATGAGAAGGACAAATGAGAGTGTGATTACTGAAGTCGGGATACAACACAGGTTAATAACAGTACAGATGCTCGTTTGTTACAGTACTTTGGGCATATAACAAGGAAAAAGGGCAACAACCTGGAAAAATGATATTGCAGGGAAGAGTTGAGGGAAGTCGAAAGCCAGGACGACCCAGGCTTAGTTGGTCGGATCAGGTGAAGACTCTAACCGGCATGTCACTCAACAAAGCAAGCAGCATGGGCCTTATTCATGAGTCGGTCATATTGAATTGAAAGTGTGGTTAAATCTTAATTTTTGGAACTTGCGAAGAGAAATGAAACCAAGTTAGTTTCTAATTAATTCAAGTCTGCTTCAATGAATAATTTCAAATTTGTAATTAAACATTCCCTAATGTTTAAAGCCAGATTTTAAAAAAATGACAGTGAACTAAGGCTGCATTATGCCTGCATAAATAGTCTGGCGCCATCCCATTTACAACAATTAATGAAAAACATTCAGGGAACTCGACAGAATGGCCAACTCGTGAATAAGGCTCATAGCCCAAAATAGATCACATTGGCATTCCATCGTGCGAACACAAAGCGTCAGTTATGATGTGATCGACAACAACAACAACAGTATGCATGCATTTTGGAATCCTTCGACAAATAGGGTTAACAAAATGCACATGCACCTCGTCTTTGAGAATGCATATGGCGTGTGTACAGACCTGGTTCCACCACAAAAATGGTTTCTATTGACTCACTGCTTTACAGAAACTGATATGAACAATGCATTCTCTGTGGTTTTTTTTTAAGTTTCACCTCGAAAAATACATTTATGTTTTCAATTTCTATTTTCCTAGCAATATAGAAGTTATTCACTTTGAATGAGACATCGATCAAAAAACATTTAAATTTTGAATTGTTTCTTCACAAATTTCGAATTATTGGCTGCCAGACAATAATTCAGCTCTCACAGGGTGGCTCATTTGTACACAATATGAAAGCCCCGTTTCAGAAGGTTGCAGGTGCCCAAAATCAGTCTATTTTTTTTGTTAAAACAAAATGGACAAATTGAAAATTCATTAGGAAAAAAATCCATGTTTTTGTAGAGCACAGGGAATACATCTTTAACTTACCTTTGCACTCGGTCCATCCACAGTCTTTTGAGTAGCAGTATAAGCATGCACCGTTGTCATCAGTCCCTCGGTTATCCCAAATGCGTCATCAATCACCTTGGCCAAGGGTGCCAAACAATTGGTTGTACAGGAAGCATTACTGTGATGGTGATAACAAAAATTACACGCATTCCTTTGTGAACTCTTTGAAACCCAACATACACTGTACATGTATTACCACAGTACTATTTAATAACCCTAACCTAACTCAACCCATCAAACACTGGCGTATCCAGAGGGGTGGGGGGGGGGGGCCAGAGGGGGCACTCTCTTCCCCCCCCCCAGCAGATTTTGTCCCATTTTTTTTAATTTAAATAAATGGCAAGAAAGTTCTTACATTAATCCCAAAAAGAAAACCCGCTTAAAAACCATTACAATGCACCGTGAAAATGGGTATATAATTTGCAGTATGCATAATAATGGTAAGTTTTGAAGAGCGCCCCATTTGAAAGATGGGTACCAGGGCCCCCCCCCCCTCCCTTTTTATTTTACTTTACGGAGGCCAAGTGTCCGGAGAAAAAAAACATGTCTACATTTCGGCGCGAATGTGCGGTTGCCCCCCCCCCCCTCTCCCCCCCCCCCACATCCAAAGCTGGATACGCTACTGCCATCAAAGCCCAACAGCAGGTTTTGTTGAAATCTGTTGAGATAGGTTTAGTACCCCTTTAGTAAACTGATGGTCTTTTACATTGGGTTTGGCATGCCTCCAGAAACTAAGTCCAACAGTGTGTGTGCACGATTTCCCATGTGGGTGTTGGAATTTGCCTGAATGGGTACGGTTCCTATTATGCTAGGGAGTTAGGGTTAAAGGTATAGTCCCTCAGTTGTAATTTGCAACAAACTTGCTCAAAATCTAAAGAAGGGTGATGAACAACTAACCTGATGAATTTCAGCTCAGCTTCAGCTGTTTATCCAGAGAAAAACAGCATTCTAGGATCTCGATTTCAAATCAAAAGTTGCTGAATCATGTTTTGAATTGGGCTTGAATTCAGCGTCCGAGACACGTTCTCGCTGAGCCGATTGCAGCTATGCAATGTTGCGCACTGATCCGACAAATTATAGCAACCGCGCGTGCGTGTGCGTCGTGTCAACGCTTGCGTGCGCTTCGCCGAATAAAAAAACCAAACTATTAACGGAAATTTCCAACGGTGCGTTTTAAGACAACGCACCGTTGGAAATGCCTTCTTTCATTGATTTCTTCAAAATGACAGCTTGCCAGAAAGAATAATTTCACAGGGAGTTTAGTCCCCATACTATCATTCAACCAAGTATGTTTTTCAACAATAATTACGTCAGTTACTTTTTGGATAGCTGCAAATGATGGATTGTAGCTTTAAAGCAGTTACATGCTACACATACAGTAGCATGAAATAAGGAAAAAATAACTATCCTAAAATTGTTTTGATTGACTGAAAATTTAATGAACAGGCATGGTATTTGACCTTCAGAACAAAATGCTGTAAATGGAGGAAATACTAGGAAATGAAAGGAGAAAAAAATAGGAAATTCTATTAAAATAGGACAACTGTTTCTTTCCTGCTGAACAAAAAGAACAGACGCACAAAATTGTGTAATTCATTAAAGGGACACTGCGTCCTGGAACAGCCCAATTGGGCTATAAAACGTGTTTTGAATGAAATGATGTTAATCAGTAAGAACGTTTAAAAGTAGAATATAAACATCCACAAGACTATCCCATTAATGGGCATTTTTATGTTATTCCTGTATTATGCGTGCGAGAACGACTTTCAGGGTCCACTTTTGCGACCCCAAAAAGTCGAGCCGTTTGGGTGCTAGTTGTGATTTCATCTGTAAAGTGTGCGCCTTTTGTGGTCGTTGTATCCGATGTAAATAACCAGGGTTTTTGTTTTTTTTTCCTCGGAAACAGTAAGACATTAGGTTGGTTTCCTTTCAACCCGATGTTTGAAATAGGATTTCAGTAAACAATCCCAAAAAATGAAATTTTCGGGGATTTCAGGATTTCTTTAAAAAAGGGTACAGAATGTTTTTGGAAGACCTGAAAGAGAGATTTTTGTGCAAGGATCCTAACAACTCCCATGATGTGGGTGACTTCAAGCCTTAGAACCATGTACTGAGAGTTACCGAAACATCAACTTTTTTTTATCCTACATTTATATGTTGAATTCACATGGTCATGATGGTGGTGTAACCAGGTCGGGTTTCAGTACTTACTTTTACCCGACAGGTTCCTTACTCCAGCATTCATTTCATAACTTCTTAACTTCGTGTTTGTGTCGATTCACATGCGAGCAGCTATTGCGATCATGCTTTTTGCCTAGGGCCCTCTCGCGGCCAACTAAACTTTTTTACAGCGCGCGCCGCCTTGGATTTTGCTCAACTATGCAATGGGCGTAGCGAGCAGGCGAGTTTTGCATTCCACCGCGCTTTGTTTAAGAGAAATAGCTGACATTCCGGGCGTTTCGGTTAGTTTTCTTGTAAGGCTAGCTGCGAAATAACTTTGATTTCGATCCAACACCTTGTTGCGTTCAGACCATCATTTTGCGAGCTCTTGCACTCTCCACTTATATCTACAAATTTTGAGAGAGGCTCCCTACAGCAGTAAAATATTTTCATCTATTTTCACTGCTGATCTTCGATTTTGACATCGGACACGGAGAAGGCATGAACGTAGACCATCCCAAGTGGTGAGTAAATCCCTTGTCTGATATTTCACTTTTTATGCCTAAAACCTTTTTATGCCTAAAACCTTTTTATGCCTGAATCTTTTTATGCCATCATTTATGCAACATTCTGGTCTTTTGTATGCTTTGTTTATTGCCATTTAAATAATTCTTCTGTTTGGGCAACAGTCATTTTATGCCACAGTTTGTTCCTTTACTGATGCATTTATAAAAAGTGTTTTGATTTACAAATAAGGAAACCAGTTTTTCCCAAATTTCTTTGAATTAAATATCGTTAATAATGTATTTGGATCTGGAAGTTATTCCCATAATTCATTAGTCATTTATTGTTTTTATGCAATTCAGATACCATCCTTGGAGCGACTTCATTAGCCTATTTTCCCTTTTTGACTGTCGTTTTTATATTCCCAACAAAGTTTTGTTTGATATACCCAAAGTTCATATATATACTGTAATTCTTTTGTAAATACCTAATCATTTGTATATATATATTGTCTCATATTTGTACTGTAAATAAAACATTTGATATTATTGAGACAACAGAAAACTTCGCTCTACCCAAATCATTTTTTAGTGGAACCACTCGGTTGTAAGGAGAGTGCCACATTTCAAAACTAATAAATCCCACTCTCCCCGGTTACAGTGGGCTTTATTATTTTCTATAAGATGTAGTGATACTGATTCTAATAAGAAAAGCAAGGCAAGTCTAGATATTGACATTTAAAAGAGTAAACACCCGGTACATCTGAGTTTTACTGGGAACAAGTCTGAAAAAAATGTAAGACAGTTGAAAAATTCACAAAAAATAGTATAACATTCATTATGAGAATCCAAATGATGCTATTCCCTAGTTTTCCATAAATACCGATAGGTGCATGCTGATAAGCTTTTGCCTGAATTTTAAAAGGAAGTGAAGTGGCCAAATCAATGGACATTACTGTGTATTCAGTAACAGGCTGAAAATACCCAATAAAAGCTAGACTGAGGTCTTGCAAGTGTTACGTGCAAATCTTTTGATTATTTTGACTGAACTAGATTGGTCTGATGATTTTCACAATGCTACACATGAGGTCAAACCAAGTGTGCATCTTCATAACTCATGTTCATTACTCATGTTGTAATCCTTACCACATTTTGCAGGAATCATTACATAACAATAATGGAAAACTTTATTGTTCATTTTCTTGACAAGTCAGCACTTTTTTTTAAATGAAATTGCATGGTTTTCATTTTGGTACTCATCTTCTTGTCCAGTGAATATTTGAGCTACACACTTTAAACTACAGTCCATCATTTTCAGATATCTAAATAGTAACTGACATAATTATCGTTGCAAAGTATACGTTTGGTTTACAGATAATTGTGGGACTAAACTGCCTGTTAAATAATATTTTTATGGCAAGCTGTCATTTTGAAGAAATCCAAGAAAGAAGGCCCTACCAGCAACGTGTCTAAAGACACACTCTTGGAAATTTCCGTAGGTAGTTTGTTTTTAATTTGGCAAAATGTGTGCAAGCATTGACAAGACGCAAACGCGCACGCGGTTGCTACAATTTGTCGGTTCAGTGTGCGACTTCGCGTAGCTGCAATCGGCTGAATGAGAATGTGTCCTGGATGCTGAATTTAGTCGCAATTTAAAACATGACTCGGCAACTTTTGATTTGAAATTGAGATCCTAGAATATTGTTTTCTTGGAATACACAGCATTCACTGAGCTAAAACTTCATCAGGTTAGTTGTTTATCACCTTCTTTATATTTTGAGCGCTTTGGTTGCTTCAAACAAACATAATGCAGACAAATGATGGACTCTACCGTTAACACTCATTGCCAACACAACAAATTTTCAAACATTTCGAAATACTTTAAAATTGGGGAAAAACACAAAACAAACACCCCCCCAAAAAAAAAATGATGCGTTTGTTAATGGTGTAAATCGAGGACACACACGTGCAACATCATCGATGAATTTGAGGACAGGAACCAAATCAAGGACTCCTCAGTTAGAAACGTGTACAAAACCAATGAGACCTGTTGCAAAAAAGTTAGAGTACAAACAAAGGAAAAGGGAAGAGGAAGAATAGAATGTCCTCGCTTCACACCATTACCAAAGGTGCTTGTACATGTAAGGGTACTGCAAAATATTTTCTAGCAGTACATTTACCACGTCTTTTTTTTTAACGCAAGTTGCCAATAATAAAGTTATTCCCAAACCAACACAAATTTGTTTTGTCATCATTGGTTTATTTTGTCCAAGGGTTTGTAAGAAAAAAACCACAAGCTTACTCGAGTAGGACTCAGACCCAGGGCCTCCTGCTTACTAGTGGCTTGGAGTCCCATCTGGGTAAGTGTGTGAATTGTTTTCTTGCAAGCCCTTGGACTACACAGCGTATAGAGTGTTTATAAAAATCACGTCGGTAAAATGCAAAACCCAATATTTACTTTTCTCCCCGACACAAAATTCATCATAAAAAAATGACATAGTATTATGACAGTTTAGCACAGATTCATTATTTCTTTTGAAGCTCACCTTACAATGTCCATGTCTGTCTTGTACTCTTTATGATTGACACCCATTACAAACATGGGAGCATCGGCAGAAGGTGCAGATATAATGACTTTCTTTGCACCTGCTTTGATATGTGCTCCAGCTTTCTCAATGGTGGTAAACACACCAGTGGATTCAACAACATACTCTGCCTCACTATCACCCCAAGGAATTGCAGATGGGTCTTTCCTGATACATTCAAAGATATATATTGTATATTCTTAGTAATTATTCAAACAAAGGGGAGCACTGCATATGAAACTTCATTTTCTGCATCACATATAATGCAGATGAATAAATACAGTAAAAAAAACATGGACAAAGAATATAAACGGATACATGTACCAATTTAAAATTTAAATTCTGCTGAATATCTATTGTTTTAACTATTATGACCTAGCATTTGACATGTGGGGTCCAAAACCAAAAGGCTTCTATGGGAACCCAAGACCAATTCAGACACCAAGTTTGAATTTGATATGCCAAGTAATTCAAGAGATATCCTAATGAATCTGATTGTGTGCACACAGACAAGTTAACACACATCAACAGAAGGAAACATCAGAAACAATATGATAAAAAAATTAAGACAATCTCCACGGATGAGGAGGCACCAGCCTAAACACTTAACACATAAAAGACATCAGGCAGATATATTTACCAATTTTATGATCAGGGAAAAGTATTAAATCTTACTTGGAGAAAACTTTGATGTGCGTATTGTTCACGACAAGGATATCATCCCCTTTCCTTGTGATTGTCCCTGGAAACATGCCATGGGTCGAGTCATACTTGAACATGTAAACCTGGAATGAAAACGTATGGAAAGAGTCATTTTTGATACAAGTTTGGCATTCATTCAAATGCAAGTGTCTTACCTTTCATTTTCAACACATGCATTAAAGAGTCTCTTCTTATGATTTTCATTTAGGGTTTGCAAACAGTTATGGGTCGAAGAGCTATCCTGGGTGATCACTGAGTACATTAACCCTAACCACCGACCTTTGGGCTAGGAACCATCCGCTATCCTGCAAAATCCTCCAATTGCCACAATGTAAAAATTGGATTCAGCCCCAATCCTCCAAAATTATGCGTTATTCCTTGAATTTCTCAGAGGAGGAATTCATCTGCATTGCCTCAATCCTTCAAAATCCTAATCACTGTTAATGGGTTGAGGCAGTGCTGAGGACATTCAGAAGCAGTGCGGGTGACATAAAGCATAATGCGGGGCTCAATTATGCATGACTGAACATAAACAATACCGAGTACAGCCTACGAACACAACACAATGCTTCCTCCAAAATCTACCAAACATTTTTTGCCACTGAGCCTCAATCCTCCAAAATCCTCCAAGACCACTTGGAGGATTATGTGTATGTGCTTTACAGTGCATACTACAGCAGTTTCCAGTGTGGCACATACAGTTTTCCAGTGAGGAATACCAGTTTTTTCCATTGTTGTATTTTGGTTTTCCTTTTTTTCTATATTTGTTAGTGGGATCAACTGTTAAGAACACTGCAGGCATTAACTCTGAAGCTGTATCTTTGACATCGTACTTCAATTACAAGACCCGGATGTCAGATACATACATGTAGTCTTAAGACATCGTACGGCAGATCTTTGGTACATGTACAGTAGTTACCGGTACAAGTATATCCCATATCCCAATTCAGTGACGATTTGCAGGCACTTAGCCTAATCCTGCTAAATGCAACAAAATCCAACAGTTATTGATACATGGATCAGTCAACAGGGCAGGTACATGTACACCAGTTCAGTCTCTGGGACAATGGGGCTTTTGCCAACAAGGACGTTGTGGAGCCCCCGTGGAGCCACTGTTGTGGAGCCCCCGTGGAGCCACTGTTTCAACCTAGCAGGGACAGTGGACCATCTGAAAGAAGATTCCAATCCTGCATGCCAGGACTGCACATCATCTCCTCAAGTGGAAGTTCCAGGACAAGTCAGCATGTGATTGCTGCCACCCAAACAACACCATCCCACACATGAATGATTGCATGCTCAGGAAGCTTCCAGTATGACATGCTTCACCAACTTGGACCTGTCTCTTTAGGCTGCTGCAGGGGTCATACGCAAGAAGAAGGAGAATACATGTTTCTAATTATGTAAACGTTCTCACCTGCCATATAATTGGAATTATACGAGGCCGAGGAGGAGAGACTCATCGTGTATTATTGTCCCTGGTAATACGGTTTGTACCACCCTTTGAAGAAAATGGATCATTCCTTCATTCATAAAAATGCAAATAAGCCCTAGCATGCTGGGTATAAAGCCCCCAAAAACCATCGAAACATGTCTCTTTGTAGATCTAAGGTACTGGTCCTGGCTGAGGACTCAAGATGAACTTCCTTCTGAACGATCTCTACTTGAGATTGAGAATTCATTTCTGTTACAGGTATTTTGTGCTGTAATTGAAACAGAACTTCTAAAAATTATATTTTATGACCAACAACTGACTGAAGTATCCAACTGTCTCTTGTTAGGGATTTCCAGTTACAAACAAAATATTGAAGACGACTTGTCTTGAAAGGAATACATGAACATGTATCTACTTTTTTGATTTCTGATCAAACGAACCTCGCTCTGATCTGAATTTGCCACGGCTTGAGGATGCAGATTTATAGGCTGCATATTTTGGCTTGGTAGTATAGCCTGATGATTGCCCTTAAAAGGAGTTGTTGCCCCGAAATCTTCTGTTTACCACAGAATCGTAAGGAGAAAACCTATTCCCCTTGTACGGCCCTGCAGTGGATGTTGCAGTCTTGGTGACTTTGGCTGCCAGTTTATTTGCCTTCTCGGCATCCTCTATGTCCTTGACTAAGTTTCCACCAAAGAGATGGCTCATCGATGGTGAATTTCGTTTAAGGCTTTCAAATCTTTTGTCAAGCTGCTCATCAAAGGCACGTTGTCTTGAAAGAGCTAGACTTTGGCTTGCAGATCCAAGCAGTATCAATGCCGAGGTGACATGATCTTTAACCATACTGGCGTCAACTGTCTCTGGACAGGATGGGTCCACCAAAGCATCAAAAAGATGGGTCAGTGGCAAAGCTGCTTTCAGCACATGATAATGAGAGTCTTTAAGCTTGTCATCTTGAGTAACTAAAGACGATCGAACTTCCTTGAAGGATGTCTTTACCTGACTTGGTAATTCTGGAGCCTTGAAATGTGGTTCCTGTTCGACAGGTACTTGATTGGATAGAGTCTCTTCTTTGAACTCTTCATGTCCCAATTTGTTCGAATGCAGGTCTTCCCACCAGGAAAGAACTTTATCTGTCACTGGAATACCTAATACCTTGCGATGAGGGTTACGAAATCCACTCGGATTGAGAATGAGATATTCCGATCCAGCTTCGGCGTCACAACCAATCTCTGATAGTGCCGGTCCGACACTCACAATTCGGGCCCGTACCAGGGCCCGAATTACTGCCCCAAATGTTCAGACTCGCCAGAGTTGTAACAAGTCACTGATTTTTGTGACTCGAGTCGAGTCAAGTCATTTTAAAGAAGTGATTCGAGTCGAGTTGAGTCATTAGGTCGAAAGGTCGAGTCGAGTCGAGTCAAATATTTAGCTCGAGTCGAGTCGAGTCAAATATTTAGCTCGAGTCAATTCGAGTCACGAATATTTGAACACTACATACCAAAATTTATAAAGGGAGGCCATAAGTTTAGCCAGCGTTCGAATCCAAGAGTTTTATAAGAAATCGCCTAAAACCAATGATGAAACAGCGAAAAATCTATTATAAGATGGAATTTTGCGTCGGGTGATATAAATCAAATTAGGTTTGCCCTTCTTGCGTTTATACGTCGGTGAAGGGCAAACTAATTTGAATTATATCACCCGACACAAAATTCCATCTTATAATAGTTTATGCGGTACCCGCTGCTATGTACATCAGATTCCAACCAGCCAACCGATCCCGTTTGCTCGGTCGAGTGGTAAGACATCTGCACTAGAAAGCAGGAGGTCGTGGGTTCGAGTCCCACCCGAGTGATTTTTTTTTTCAACTTTCTCTGGGGAGGTAACACACTGAGTAAACAGTGTTTATACGTCGGTGAAGGGCAAACCTAATTTGATGAAGCGAAAAATCTGGTTCCTGGATAGTATTTTGTGCGTTCTAGAACCATGAGGTGGGAGTCTGTGACACGTTGTAAATTTATACATGACTAATTCGCAAAGCGAAGTGAGCATAAATTTTTCACCGTAAGTCATTGCAAATACTTTTCGCAAAGTTGTGCTTTTATTTTTGGGACTCGAGTCTTATTAGCCTCGGTTCGAGTCGAGTCGAGTCTTTTGATGAAGGACTCGAGTCGAGTCGAGTCATTTGCTTGCAGTGACTCGAGTCGAGTCGAGTCATTTACCCTTAGGGACTCGAGTCGAGTCGAGTCACCAAAAATTGTGACTCGAGTCGGACTCGAGTCGAGTCATTGACTCGAGTCATTACAACTCTGGGACCCGATGTTGATGATACATCTGTTGGGTAGCATAAGGTGGCCAATGTTGTGCAGAGTTAAACCACAAAAACGACCGATATGGCGGGGCAATGGCCGCCGCCATATTGAATGACTGCTGCCCGCTGCTAGCGGGCCGCTAGCGGAGGCATTGCTGGCCGTAGGTGGGAAATTCCATTGTTGTCCGGGAAACAAAGACGGCCCTGGCTGATTGCAAGGGACGACCCAAGGCGAGGTCAGTCCCGGCTCATTATCTACCACATGTCTAGCCTGTGGTGCTCTGGATACTTGAGGTATTTTCTGCGAGGAAGACACTCTCGTGTCGGTGGCGGAAATTGGGCAAGGCGGCCCGCTTTCCAATTCTTCTGCACGTGGACCACCAGCCCAAGGTGAGGTTGGGGCCTGTGACTTACGCACTTGTTCAACCCTAGGCGAGGTCGACGAGGTAGCAGATGGTCCCGAGGCTGTAGACGAAGATCTCAAGCCTGAACCAGGCACATCTTTAGCCTCCTTGTCGGTGGCATGGGTGGCTTTTGCGTAAAGCGCTCGCCTCTCACCAAGGTGACCACGAATTGAATCCTGGCCGCGGATCCCGGCCTGGCCACAGATCACTTTGGAGTAGAGTTGTGTGTTGGTTCTCTCCTGTACCACGAGGGTTTTTCTCCGGGCCCTCCTGTTTTCCTCCCTCCGGAAAAATCAAACACTTTCAATCTCAGGCTGTGCTCCGTGGTCATATATGGGTCAATGTGGCCGGCAGCCATAGGCGCCTTTACGTGCCAGCACCCGACCACGTTGTAGCCGTGTCCTTCGCAATTCAGCATCCCAGCTGCGAGTAAGGATGATTAGCCTCCCAAATTATTATTATTATTACAGTCAAACCTGCCTTAGCGACCCACTGTATACAACGACCACCTGTCCGTAACGACCATTTAAAAATCCCCCCTGACAAATCCCTTAACAGTCGACTCTCGTTATAACAAGGTCGATGAGACTAGCCAAATTACCTCTTTATAACAGGAATGTTGTTATAAAGGGACAGTGAAACAAAGAAACACAAAGAGAACCTGAGATTTGGGGCTTCAGAATTTGCTCTTTATAAGCAGAACCTCTTTATAAAAGTGCTCTTTATAATGAGAGTCTACTTAAGTCCTGTATAGAACGACCACCTGCTTACGACCAGTGACCACACATTTTGCTTCCTTAAGAATATTTAAGTCTGTACAGAATGACCTCAAGCCATGAAAAGCGACCACCGAATGCCCACTTGCTTCTGTACAATGGTTGATCCCTTACTCAAAAGAAAAAGCAAAAGCCACATGAACCACTTCAGAGGATTAGTAAATCAACTGCAGGATTTCCAGGACATTTTCAAGCTTAGTCTTGGTCTGTGGTCGCATCAACAATGCACCTATTGTCAGTGCAGCAGCTTAGATTGCAAGGCTTTCACAAGTGCTAGCTAGCTCCATTCAACAAAATGCCCAAGGCATGTGCATGACTTGTGACCTGTCAGTCTCGTCCACTCACATACTTTTGTTATCATTAAAATAAATTAAATTAAAATTTGTTTACATGTTTTCTGAAGAACAAAAAAACACAACACACTCGTGTATTTTTGTTGTCAAGTTTATTGTTCAACTTTATTTTTAAATCGTGAAAAAAGTTTAAGTTTTGTTGTGCTCTTGATCAACCTTTGAGCTTTTCAGCAAGTTTGCCATTGGGCATTGTGTTTACACTACATTGCATGCGTAGATTACTTCTCAGGGCTCTGTCATTTATAAAGCGAGTTTGTTCCAATATCGCTTTTGCAAAAGAGAAAATATGGCTCCACTTCTTCAAGCCCGAATCCTAGAAGGAATTATCAAAGTTAGCTTTCACTTCAAATGAAAATGGAGGTCATAAGTTGATCGTGTGATCGTCACGAATCTCGGAAAGAGAAACTTCCCTGTTGTTGTACGGCCCTACTTTTACTTTAGTTGTGGTTGTGCAGGTTTTGCTGCTCAAGCACACCTAATTCTCACATAATATGAACATAAAATAATAAACACTTTTTAAAATCACTCACAGTTATGATTTTCAATTTTCTTATTTTTTTTTTTAAAGCAAGAGTTACAGTGTATGTTTTAATTTTAAACAAATAACTAAAAGAAGGAAGAACATAATGTTGGATAAGGCAGGTTTAGACTGTAATGACCCCCGCGTTACATTAAGCCAAAGGGAGGGCAAATATTACCAACCTGTACAGAGAGACCACCTGTCTGTAAAGACTGCTTTTATTGTTTCCCTTGAGCGGTCTTTCTGTACAGGTTTGACTGTATTATTAATTATTCTTGGTTGACATATCAAAGCAATAAATGTAGAAAAACCAAACTGGTTGTAGCTAAGATTTGACTAAGTATGTGAATTGAAGACGTAGTGTAAAATACGTGTGTGCTAAGCCATACCACAAGGAGGAAAGACATGCCTCAATAGTTTCTTGGGGGCTTTATACCCAGCATGCTAGGGCTATTTTGCATTTTTATGAATGAAGGAATGATCCACTTTCTTCAAAGGGTGGTGCAAACTGTATTGCCAGGGACAATAATACACAGTGAGTCTCGACGACAAGAGCCGTGTCCGCACTGGACTTTTTTTTTTTAAGGTTTTACCGAGACGATGGTAAAATGAGAAATGGTCAAATGTGACCACTGTCCGCACTTGGACTTTCGACACGGGAAAATTTACCCAGACCGCGTGGGAGAAGTAACCGAGCTGTCACAGTGTAGGCCTAATTACTCACCGTACACAGAAAACAAATTGCCGATCACATTTTCAGCCACCGATACGCACAGTAATATTACACACGCCATTTGCATGCACAACATAATCGTTTACACGATATTATTTCATCTTGACACGCTAAATCTTGACGAAAGGGCCTATAATTCTGACGCATTTGTGATGCACGTCGTCGAAGCCATGCCGCTGTACGATGTTCCGTGCGGCAGCAGTGCCATCAGTATTCGTTGGTTCCCATCACATGCTTACAGAATCGAAGCTATGATGTGGGCCAGGAACCAGTGACTACGGCCTACGTACGGTACCGGACCATGATGTTCCATGCATGACTACAGTAGCGTATCAGGACGAATTTTGATCGTAGAAAATAACATACATCGGCGGAGAAAGAGAATTTCCGCAAATTAATTCTCAGAACGTGATCTCTCTTCTCTGTGTATGTATTTGTCCGTTGAAATATATATTTTAACGAGACTTTACCGCTCGGACTTGATGATACACCGCAAACAGCGTGTTTCTACAAAATGTTCGGCCACTGCACGTGCAGGTTCGTGCGGTCTCTGTATGCATAACAGGGCGCTCGGGCCGGATGTACGCTTTCCTGATCCGCTTTTACCGACTCGCACTGTCCGCACTGGACTTATCGTCTCGGGAAAAGTGACCTGGTCAGTTTTCCTTGGCGCGTGGGAAGTTTTCCTGGGCAGCAGTTGGCCAGTAAAAGTAACCGCTGGACTCAGGAATAGTAACCGAGAGGAAAACGTCCTAGGCTGTTCGCACTGGACTTAAAATGGGAAAAGTACCCATAGTCTCGGTTAGTTTGACCAAAAAAAGTCCAGTGCGGACAGGGCTTAAGACGAAAAATAATGATGATAGGGTCCTGGTCATATAAAACATATAACATATAATTGAACATTATCTTACCATGTAATCAGGATCAATGAAGGGGTCATTTATTGCGACAACTTGAATGTCACTTTTCAGAAGGGCAGCTCGCAACACCAAGCGACCAATGCGACCAAATCTTGAAATATAACAATAAAAGGATATCAAAAATAAAAATTAATGCAAATTCCAATTTACAGTACAAACTACAATTTCCTTTGTTTTTATTGACTTGGTTCCACTATTATTCAGTTCACTATATAGTCGCCACTCATTAATATGAGCTTAGCTAGGAGGAGATTCTGGTTAAGATGAGAATTTTTCAACAGTCTTGACCTCAGTGTAACTGCTGTTGGTAATTTTGCAGATGTCGTTACAGTGCCCTCCAGAGGTGAGGAATTTTATCGCCGTCAGATTGATCATAATATGACAAATTTATTTCTGCAAACTTCATAATCTCAGTATCCCTTTATTCATAAAGACTTAGACATTAACTTGGAAATATAAGGTGGCACGGAGCTATGGGAATATGTGTTTTTGTTTTAGTATTGTCCTTTACATGTATTTGCATGTGTACACAATGTACATGTACGTATAGTCTTTGCGTGAGCATCAGACCTTGCATGCCTTGTCTGCAATGCATTTGAATGTCACTCTGAGTGGTCTCCCCAACTCTCCATTCCTTACTGTAGATCTTGGCCATCCAGTGTTCAAAACTTATGAAACTCTGTACATGCATAGAACAACTTAGCATGAACATACCCAAGAAATTTCATGACTACAGGTCACAGGGTTTCGGATTATCGCTAATTAATAATCATATATGCACGAACTTCTGCTTCGTGTACACGACGTACATGGGGAAATTCAGTTTTCATGGCGTGTAGTGCCCGATTTTTTTTGGGTTCGCGGCAACCCATGGTCCAAATTTTATATTTTTGGAATCAAAAGATGCGCAAGACTCAAGGCTAAAAAGTCAGAACAGCTCGGGTCACAACAAAAATGTTTTCAAGGGTATCGCAGAAAATGTTGAGAGGGGGAGCGCATTCTGCCCCCCACCCAACCTGTTAGGGTTCAGGGAGTTATTTATTATAATAATACTTAATTCAGGCAAATTTTACACATAACCAGTGCGAGTGCACAATAAGCTCTGGCGAGAAATGAGACGCCGATGGCACATATTGAACACCATACTTTTGGTCAAGTTTCAGTTCCTCCTTCTGGATACCATCCAACCACTACAGAGAATACCCCGCGACTATAACAGTACTGCACATATTTTGCCTCCATTTACAAAATGTTCATAAACAACTTTGTGAATTGTTACAAACAATTTTTGTTAAGTATTTAATTTATTTTGTTTGCTTTTTTTAAATTAAAATTTGGTAGTTATATTATTTGCCCATCACACCTTGCAAATGTTCTGGCCCACATCGTACCGGAACATGTTCCGAATCCACATTCTTACTGGTCTACAATGTACATTTTACTTTACCTTGAAACATATCTTTTTAGTGTAATTTTAGCCCAAACTTACTCAAACAAACATGAAGTTTAACGTGTGTTCGTAAAATGGGCTTTGCTACCTTGTATTTGCCTATATTGTAACACGACATGAAAAAAGTGGAGCCAACAATGTGCATGCTTACTGCTGCCCTGTCCCCATACATTGCTTTGTGTAAGGTATATTATTGTGTTTCATGTACAGGGTTATTGTGCATAGAATTGATCTGAGAGCGTAATTTGATTTTTTTCTACCCAACGAAAATGTTTTCAGTGCGCTTAATTTAGCCAACTCTCGTAAATACAAGATTCTCTGGACTTTAATACTAAAAAAATCTTTTTATCCGGAATCTGTTTTTATGCGGAAAGCCGCTTCCCCCACTCACCGTCACCAATCATGCATCATCCGAACAAAATAGCATCAACATGACTTTGGTGCCGGTGCCTTGGGCGGAGTAGGGCCCATGAAACACTGGTGCCTAGGGCCCACGAAACACTTAATCCGGGCCTGTATCACTTTCCTTTTTCAGGTAGGGGTTGGGTACATTCTGAAGATTTTTATACATCATGTCACTTTTCACGGAGCAGAGAATGAGAAGATTTGATTAAACTTGCAACAAACGATCAGGGGTGGGTTTTATGTTATTCCTCTCTTTTTGCAAATTTCTTTTTCGGGTAAAAGATAGTAACCTATTTGCACCGCTGCTTTGTTTGGGCTCCAGAGTCAATTGGTTTAGTCTTAGATATGGGGTGGAAAGATTCGTCGCTCCAAACTAAGACGACGAAACCTCTCCCTTTCTCTGATATTTCGCCCCAAAGACCACCCATTCCTCACCCAAACCTCACCCAAGCCTCATCTGGCAAGGCGGCTGGGCTGCTTGCAGAGTGTTTTCTAGACTACCGCCAATATATAACAAATGCTTTCTATTATATTAGACCGTACATAGAATATTTCAGTGTGCCAGAAAAACGAAGTCGATTCTGATTGTCACTTCTCCGAAAACCGAATTTAACAACCACGCAATGCAGCAGCACAAATCGATAATGTTGTGCCCCACAATAAACACTACGCAACATATAATTTCGACTGGTATGGATCTTTTATCTGATCCACCTAAAATTCGGTTTTATCAAAGAAATAAGGAGAAAATCAACTCTTTAGAGGAGACACAACGCACACGCAAACACATCACCTGTAACATCCGCGCAAATAAATCACAAGTGTGTACATGCGCTTGATTTTGCTATGTACAACGTTGTGTATCCTAGCCGTCGTACCTAGGTTCAGCACTAGGCATCGCATTGATACATATAAATCTTATAACAACCGGTTTAAAATAGCAGGGATCATTGCAATCGATTTCTAAGATATCGATGTAATTCTTATTCAAAATCAATTGACAATAGGTTTTTTGTTTGTTTTTCGCAGCGGCCATGTTTAGTAAATCCTTATTGACTTTTTATGCCATCCAGCGCCTACGGCCAATATATTCTAATGTTACATGAGTAACGCATTTAATTTGCAATACATCCTGGTGGATTTCGCGCGCCTCTGGAGACCTCAAGACGATACTGTCATTAAAGGTACCGAAACTTTCATTTCCCAATAAGCTGTGCTTCCACATGCTATTCAACTGTCTGGGACTCTTCCACGCTAAGCAGTGCATCAACTTTTCAAAGTGCATGTTTACGTGTTTGCTTTGACCTTCTCGCCTTTTCTTTCGCTCCCATGCGTATAACTCGTAAAACGGGGAAGAGGACCTCTTAATATCTTAAACTTTTTGTGTATGTGTGCAAACTTCATGAGCGAAAGGCCATGCAGCTTACGGCTGGCGGTCTCGTCCGTACGCGCCCTACTCGTCTTACGAGATCACGCTTCATAATAAACGCTAACCAGATTCTGCCGGCAATCAAAGGCACCTTAATTACCCCCGTACCTTTGCGAGCTAACGATAGCCAGCCACATAAAATTAGGGTAACCACAGAGGCCTATTCGAGTGGATCTCTGCGTATCATGGTATCATCGGGTTTGATTCCGAGAGCGAACATGTCATTTTTCTACTGTGTACAAACATGCATCCGGTGTCTTTCATAATGACTGAATGAGCCAATAGGGCCTAATTGTGTCATCGCCAGAACTGCATGTCAGGGCTTACTGCTGATGGTGTTTTATATCCCATGGAGGTATAAATATAAAGGTCACTTTGGTGGGCACTCTCTCGGCTTTACCACTATCAAAATTGCATTCTGAAAATTGCGATCAGAAATTGCATTATGGATTTTTTTACCAATAAACAGGAGAAAATGTTTTTTTTACGAAATAAACCGAACAGCCGGGCGCCCACGGCGATAAATTATTTGTAAACAATACAATACCCACAAAAAAGCTATCTCCTTGGCCCTACACCCACACTATGCCCCAACTCAACCCGCATGACTGCCCTCCATTTTTGCAGCAGGGGCAACAGTTTTAGGATTACCAGAACAAAAGAACGCGATATACTCAAGGCAGGTGAAAAGTACATTATGAAAGGGCACTGAATAAAATGCGTACCGTATCAGCTGCTGGCCCGATTCGGCGTTTTGCTAACTATAAGGGAATGTCTGTGTAAAATAACGCTGAAATGTCATGGGCAAGTGTTGAAACCCTCGCCAAGACTTTCTTGAAACATTTTAAACATTAACTTCCCGCTTGAATTTGAACTAGTGACCTCAGTTAACCTTGCCATTTGACCTGCAATTAATGCACCGCATGTTTTTTCTTCTTCTCTTCGTATTAGCAGTTTGCATAATTTGCCAAATCTGTCACCTGCCGCAATCATGCATGCACTTGGCCGAGAGCGTGAGCGTGATAACTTCCAACTGCATTTAGCAAGAAAGACACAGAGAGACAAAAAAGAAGAAAACAGGATTTTATTTTTTACTCCCACAGGAAACAACATTGGAGCTTATAACTATTGTCGGGTGGTGCTATAGCAACTGCTCAGTCACGAAAATTCCAAGGCTTAAATTTAAAGGAATTTCATTCAATAAGCAACACTACATTTTGATAATGGTTTAGCTCGCGTATCAGCCAAACTATAAAAGATATGTTTATAACTACAGAGTTTTGCTCCGACCTTACCATACATAATGTCCACCGCTGTCTCTGAACTTCCGAACATTTTCTGGTGCATTGTCGATGCAGAACTGGGCCAAAATACTCTTCTCGTCTCCTAATAAAAGGCTATAACAATAAACTAAAGTCAAGCCTGCAACCGGCTATTTGAATCGGACCCTGCCATAGAGGCCTTACTGTATCGAGCAGCCGAGTTAACTCAGCATATAAGGTATCCTGACCGTTCCTTCTCAGCAAGATATGAACAATATTAATATCCTTATTTTCCGCCGTATAATTAATATTTACGCGGATTCCCCTACTTACCGCATAGTGCCCTGTCGAGGCATTCTTGTATAGTATGACCTTCCATAGTACATTTTTACGAGCATCATGATCCACGTGTTTTTTTTTTTTTTTCTGTCGCGGCATGTCTGCCGACCAACAAACATTATTTTTTTGGTTTGTTTGCTTGGTTGTTTCCATATATCCATCGAGCAACATTTATTTATTTATTTTTTTTTGTCAGGGCCTATCCTCCGACCAACAAACAAATCTCTTTTTTGTTTCTCACTATCGGGGCCTATCCGCCGACCAACAAACAAATCTCATGACACTCACTATTTATACATTTTAATGATCGTCTCGCTCTTTTGGGACTACGAATCGTCATAGTCTTAAATCTATGGGTGGCTGTGATGATTGTTCAAGGCTAGCGGAGAATTCAAGATTGTTGTGGAAATACTAAAGGAAATCCCATACCTCATTGTGAGAACAATGATTTGAGCGAATACTAATTAAAACGGATATAAAACCAATTACCAGCTGCCAGACTGTGACAGGTGTCACTTTGCTCTCATAATTTGCGGATAGAAACACATTTGTCATACCTCTGTCTTTATACTGTATTTTCATTGGCCCAGGACGATCACCTGACCGGGCGATAAATATGCATGGCACACTCCCGTTGTATATCACATTGTGATATCACATGCATGTAGACTAGTCCCCGCCCCACAGTCCAAACCATTATGCGCGGACCGCGTTTAAACCAGACTGTACTTGTACTCACTGGTACCCCGCAGTACTTTCACGTTCCACAATATAATGTATAGCAGTGAGGGAGCAGTGCATTTGCAGACGATGATTTACTTTAATTTGGCGGCCAGCGACGAGCGGCATTAAGAATATGTTTACGTTTTGACTGACTCTAGTAACGGTGCCTAGGCCTTCAGAACTTCGGAAATGCAGAGCTGACACAGTTAGTTTTTTCGTATACGATCCTCATTAGCCTCAACATGTCAGCTGAGCCCAGAGGCACAGATTCTCCGCCCCAAAAAAGTTTTTTGAGCCGCTCCAAACAACAAATACAAGATTTAGCTTTTGAACAAGACTCATCGAACACCAAACGTTGTACCGACTACGCAGTCCGCGTTGTACAAGAATTCTGCGAAGAAACGGGCAGGGACACTCGTTTCGAGACACAGGTTTTTATTCATTGTCCCTACCACTATAAAATATGCCAGGGGATAAGATTTTTTTTTTATTAAACTTGTAAAACCTTTACCCCAAATTTCCCTGAACTTAAGCTTGTTTTAATGCCCCTACATCTATATATGTTGAAAGAAAATTTTTCAAAGATTCCTTCAGTTTGCCACCCTTAATTTCCCTTAGAAAAACAAGTAAAACATATCATCAAGACAGAGGTATGACAAAACAGTTGTTGACTGATGTGATGTGGGATATGACGTTTTGAACACCCTCGGGGACGCATAGCACCCTCGGCTTTGCCTCGGGCGCTATGCGTCCCTCGGGTGTTCAAAACGTCATATCCCACATCACATCAGTCAACAACTGTTAAATATTACAGAGCCATGAAATCACTTTTTCTACAGTTGTTCACTCAACTAAAAAAAAAGAATAAATGGTCGTCCATCAAAACTGACTTGCAGTTCTAGTCAACAAGGACCCATAGGCTAGGATTGGCATGTCATGCTATACCATATTCCCTATCTGTATCCATTATGTTTAAGACGTGGTGATGATACAATTGGGCTGCCGACAAACAAGGCACGACTGTGCTTCATTGGATCGTTATACAATTGTAATCTTAGAATGCTTGATTATGCTTATACAATGTATAAGGGAAATTGTCGGTAGATACCTATGCTCCAATGATGCATTTCCTGAACCTGTGCACGGCGTCCATGTACATGTTGTTGATAAATCTCAGCCCTTGTGCGCCTATCGAGCCATGTGCCCAATCTGAGGTGCGTCAAACCCAAACCTACTTTCCACCCGCTGCCAATGAATAATTGCCCCAACTCTGCTATACGAAGAAGTCTACCCTTCTATCTTGAACTCCTGTGACTCCTCGACTCTAGGGTCCATGTTTTGGCAGGACAGCGGCGTTGGCGTACACCATTCGCCCACAGGCGGCGTAACATTTCCCACAGGCATTCACGTAACATTCGCCCTCAATCTTGGTCTATTTAGTGTGCCTGTAGACTCAAGGTGAATAAAGAGAAAATTGCATGTGTGAAATAAACGTCATTGTGCCCAGGAATTATCACCTGGAAATAATGCTTAAACTTATGTCTGTTATGAGTAATATCTTAAAGTTCAAAATGTAATAGGAAAAGAGAATGGGCGCAACAATAAATGCTGTTCTATGATACATGTACCAAGCAGGCCCTCTGCAAATCAGATGAAATAATGGTTTATCCAGCACCGAATGGAACTGACCAAACAAAGTCCAGCCTGCACTGCGTGATTAGTAAATATGTGCTATTTCCTAATGAAATATACGCTATTTCCTAATGAAATATACGAGTATGCCTGCTATTTGCCCCCTTAAAGTAGGTATACATTTAAAAAGGCTTTAAATTGCTGAAATAAGGGCTGATAACCTTATTTGTTCCATGACCCCTCACATCTCATAGGCCTGTCCTCTGAACAAACACCCATACTCCACATGCCTTAAAATATTAGTGTAACTTAATTTGGACGTACATTTAAACCTACGATTCTCATTCGAAGATGGCCATCATTAATATCAAGGCACGTCGGACCATCCCCCTGTATTGGAACATCACATTGTGTAGGAAGGACCGCAACATTCCATCGTCACGCATCATTGCTGAACGCCACTCCGCGCCGTAAATCATTGTCCGGAACAATCGACGCTTTAGTTTGCATGCAAGGCGCCCCGTGTACAAAACGCATGGCAGCCTATCTGCAGCATTTTGTCAACTGTCATTCCTGGGACAATTTTATTCAGGTTTCTCAAAATCGTTGTCAAAATATCACTATATCTGAAGGAATCAAATCCAAGTTCCTTGCTCTATGGCTGAATATTTGTGTAAAATAACGATTTATTCAGGAGACTTCGTCAACTAATTCAATTTACCAACGACCTGCATGGATTTTTTCAACAACTGCCAAAGAAACTGGGTTTCTCCTACCTTATTTTCCATTCGACTAAAAGGGAAAACCTGAAAATACTTCTGTGTCCATACTGACAGTAACACTAGCATGGCTGAGCCTCTCCACAAAATCTAAAATCTTGAAGCTGCACTTCGGCTCGGTTGGGCCATGATTCAGCACGGCCTATAGGGCTGGCATACAAAGCGAGGAGCGAAAATCGAAATGCGTCCGGACATGCTCAACCGGATTAAACTTCTGATATATTCTCTTCCACCCTCAACATCGCTAGCGTTGCAAATAGGGTTCGGAAGGAGTTTCAAACATCATTCCACTCTCTGGATAGCAGAGAACAGGCAGAACTCTTGATAAACAATGGGGATATATGGCTTTCATTTGATTCCCGTTGCTTTTTAACGCCGTGTTCCTTTTTCATTTTTTTTGGAAGAATTTTTAAACACTGTGCCTCTCTCTCTCTCTCTCTCTCTCGCGCAGATTGACAGCCATCATTAAGAAACCATCTAGCAGCAGGAGAACTGCTTAATGTCCATTTCAATGCATTGTCCATCTTTTTAAAGATCCCTACCAGTACCTTAACTGGAATCGCATCATAGCCGAGCTTGTATTAACAAGAGATGACCGTATATAAAGTGGCGGCTTGATTATAAAGCTTGGCTTGTTTAAGCTTGACGGCAGTCAGGGAAAGCTTGGCGGCAGTCAGGGAAAGCTTGGCGGCAGTCAGGGAAAGCTTGACAGCAGTCAGGGAAAGCTTGGCGGGGCACCTGGCTTGTTATTAAGATTGGAGAACACTGAACTTTTAATGTCTTTTGGATTTAACTGAATCAAAACAGTCTTTGCATTGTGTAAAATATGAATTGTTGATCACCTACCCATTTATGCCAACCTTGACCATGATTGTGTATCTGCAATTCACACTGCTTCAGCTGATTCCTGCAAAAATACAAGAACATTGCAACTTAGTACATCATAAAGGAAATAAAGGAGATCGTGATTTTGGTACTGCATTGCAATCCACATTGCAATTTACACCGATTGACAACATGATGGTCTTCGTTTATTACATGTACATGTACATCATCACATATGAGAATAATACCAGTAACATGTTGGAGCACTTACAAATGTTTGTTTAAAACTGGTTGGGGGTCTGGTCAATGATAAAGGCCCGAGAGGTCAAGATGGGTTACTGGAAAGACTCTCTCATATACAGTGTGTCTCAAAAAAATGCAAACAAAATTTAACGGAATGCCAGACGTAGAATGTGTAACAAACACAGATAATATAGGTATGGTTTGGAAGATACGCCTTTCCACTTTAAAAATGAGACATCAAACGTCTGAATCTGATAAATTTTGACGGAGTTATGAGTAATTTTCCAAGTGAGGTCACATTGGCCATGGGAACATCAACATGTTTGATTGATGAGATAGATGTAACTCGGCTATGAAGACGGAATGCGGCAATGGACACGATGGATGAAACAAACTGGATAAACACATCAGCCAACTCCACATATTCAGACGACGTTGTGATGCCATCATGAAGCCGGTTGTTTCATGCAAATGTGAAGGGACACTTGTCCTCAAAAGATTGAGAACTGGTGTTCAGTAAGTTCTGCCAACATACCGGCAAGTCGTCGACTGCAACATATCGGCTCCAACTGCAGCTTGATCAGCATGTAAAACATGTGCTGGACGTGTAACCGAGAGGGCCAGCCAAATAATAAAAGCAAGGCCAAGCAAGTTCAGTATCTGAGACTGCGTCTTTGCATGCATGGCAGCACATGAGGTAGGCCTACAACAGCCGTCGGGAAACATGGCAAACATGGTGGCACCAATTATAAAATTGTTATAATATTAATATTTCAGAGGGGGGTCAAATGGCTGGGCAAAACTTACACTGGATGAACTGCACAGGATAAAAAGACATTAAAAGACATAAAGTCGATGCCAATGGCTTACATCAATGAAGTGTACATGTGCACAATGGCAATGTCTCTGCATGCAATGTATCAGCCTTCCGGCCAGTCAGTACTCCGTAGATTCTAAAATCTATCAACATCTACAAGATCCCAAAAGATGCAATATTCAAATAGCCATGATGAATATCCAAACCCTTTCCTTAAATGTTTGAAACGTAATTTGTGATCGAAAATCGTCACAAACAGAGATATTCAATTGATGCATTTAAATGTTGACGAATGAGAAAATTAAAAATAAATCCAAAAATAAAGCTTTAGGGGCAATTCAAAATTTTCAATGTTTTTAAATTTGGGGTTTTTTCCAAATTGTTTTGACCCACCCACCCACCCCTATTTTCAATTAAATAAAAACTGATTTGTTATACAGTATTAAAAATGCAAATACATGTATCTATGTAGTGGTATTTCCTAACGTGGCGCACTTCGACATTTACGCCGACTTTCCTTATCAGTGTTCCCAAACTTCTTTGTTGACAAACTTCAAATTCATTCAGTGAAATACTGGTACTTTTACCATATTAATGCTTGCTATTTAAACTCTGTGAACAATTTCGGTTTCATGAAATTAAATCTGAAATTCAAAAACGGTGGTGTCCGGAAATTAGGCACAAATCGGCTGAGTGTTTCCTGACGTGGCGCACTTGAATAAATGTCGGAAAATTCCAAATAAACATTTAAGAATTTGTCAAGTTGATAAATTCTGATAAACAAATATTATCTCTATTTACATACCCAACTAAAAGTTTGTCAAAAAATTATTTTCTATTTTTTTGGGAGACGTTTTCAAAGGGTTCACTGTGTACTTCGAAATAAAATCACAAAATCATGCCGAAATACAATTTTCTTCTAATTTTGTAACAGGAAGATAAACTCGTGATTTATGAACGGAAGTGTTTAGAACTTGATGAAATTTCACTTTCTGTGAAATTTCAGTTAAATCTTTTGCTCTAGCTAGGCGCTACATGTGAAAAATCAAAGTGCGACACACTAGGGGCCGCGCCATGTTAGGGTACATCCATGGGTACATCAACAATACATGCACGCACATTCACACACATTCGTAAACACCGGCAATCGTGGACCCCCTATTGTCCCTAATCCTCATTCCTTTGTTTGTACCCCTAACTTTTTAGCAACAACTCTCATTGGTTTTGTACACGAATTTCAATTGTGGACTATCGGTCAATCGTGCACGTATTGTTTGTGCCCTTGTGCTGGGTCCACGATAACAGGTGTGATAATACTCATGTTTACACATGTGTACTACAGGTCATTCTGTATGACTGTACGTTTGTCCGTATGTATTGGGGACGAGGTTGGAAAACAAACGCGCATAAGGAACGCTGGTGCATAGGCAAGTCAAAATACCTGGCTTTTTGTTTTTTCTTGGGTTTTTTTATGAATAGTGAATTTGGATTTTCAATTATTAACCTTGACCCACCCACCCACAATTTGGAAAAAAGATCCAAATTTAAAAACATTGAACATTTTGAATGGCCCCTTATCACCTACCTAGTCGTCTGAAGTCAATCGATGGCATTTCATGTAAATTTTGCATTCAGAAAAAAATATTAATCACATAAAAATTAATAAAAAATCAGTTGATGACGTCATCATGACGTCAATTCATCTTTTGAATACTATTATCATTATATGACTACCCACCAAGTTTCATGACGATTGGAGCTTCCCTTACATGTGTTTTAAAATCACATTTTTGATGACGTCACCGTGACGTCACACCTTTTTCAAAATTTTGTGCATATACCTCTCACCTAACAAACCAAATACAAAACTAATTTAGAATTTTGCATATTACGTTCATGTTCATGAGAAATGGCTTAAAGGTCCAAAAATTCAAAATTCATACAAAATTGCATGATCACGTCATCATGACGTCACCTCAATTTTTATCTATAACACATCCTGGTCTACCTACACACTGAGTTTCAACCCAATCGGACTTACAGTTCTGTAGATAAAGCACTTCATTGTGATTTGTGATCACAATAGATTTTCGAAATCCCTCCACATATTAGTCGTCTGCATGTACATGTACCTTCATGCAGTGTGCACGATGTATGTAGGTACACACACGTCTTGCTTTCCATGACATCGCACCAGACGAAAATTGAAACCACAAGCACACCTGAAAGCCGTATGGTACCCAATACATCGCGCACACTGCATGAAGGTACATGCACCAACCAGTGGGTGGAGCAATTTCGAAAATCTACTTTGACCATGGGAAGCATGGGTATAATAACATTTATGATAGGTACAGAAGACATGCACGACAGCCGTGGCAATGGACGTTTTTTGGAGAATCGCCACCAAAATCATCCACAAATTTCATATTTCAGTCTTTCCTGTTCTGTTTATTAGTCCATTATTAGTTTCATGAACGACTGCTGCATGGTATGAGGTATATCTTATGGATTCTGGGTTGGGATAATAGAGGGAAAATTTGGCATTTTTGTAATACACTGGGGATATGCGGTCGCCTTTTTCGGGCCTCTAACAATACTGTGATCGTCACATTTCTTTCTTTCTTTATATCAGCCGTGCCCTGCGATGACGTCATCTTGAAAACCCTTCTCAATGCACATTTTGTTATTGTGGTCTTGGTTTGAAACAAGTTTACAGTCAATCCGATGAAAGGAAGTGTGCAATTTTGGAAGCAGAATAAAATTATAAATATTAAACAAATCATAAAAAATTGAATGATGATGTGATCGTGACGTCACTTCGGACTTTGCATACTAGTACCATTATCTACCTATCCACCAAGTTTCGTGATGATCGGACCTTTCCTTTTATGTGTTTTGAAAAATCGCATTTTTGATGACGTCATGATGACGCCACACATTTTTCAAAATTTTGTGCAAATACCTATTACCTAACAAACAAATTACAAAAAAAAATTTGAATTTTGCATGTTGCCTTCTTGAGATATGGCTAAAAGGTCAAAAAAATTCAAAAATTCATATAAAATCGCCTGATGACGTCATCATGACGTCACCTCATTTTTTACCTATAACACATCCTGGTCTACCCACATACCAAGTTTCAACCCAATCGGACTTACTGTTCTGTAGATTTAGGACTTCAAAATATGCACGTTTGTGATGACGTCATGTGACCAATGATGACGTAATCATTACGTCACTCTTCAAAGTTCAAGACACAACTTTGCTATGAGGACAATGCATATGCTGACTTTGAATGATGTATGACAAAGATGAATGCCAAAAGTGCCGCACAGAAAAATCATATACAAAGTCTATGGGATTTTTGGCGACAAAAAGAAAGAAAGTCTTTTTCGCAAATTTTGCGAAAAAGCAAAAAAAAAATTAAAATCTGAACAAAAAGAAAGGCTTTTTAGCAAATTTGCAAAAAAGCCAATAACACAAACAGGTGGATCTGGCTTCCTATAAATTGAATTCATCATATAAGAATATTCTTGTCTTTTTCACTTCAATATCCAAATTTTATTATAATTAAGTTGAAAATGCAGTCATTTCACTTTTCATCTCTTGTGCCATTTGATACATTGGCAAAATTGAACAGTTGCTCTTCATGCTATAGCTTACACCTGCTACTAAAATCAGAAGGAAACAAAAAAAGGCCCAGGAATGGAAAAGATCCTTGCTGATCTTGTTGGTGAAAACACAATCCACAGGTCTTCTTATGGACAAAAAAGATATACATGTAGTAGCCGTCCTCCCCACATGATCTGAGATGCGACATGAAACAGCCATCAATCTGTCCAAGCGAGAACCATAATCATATGCGCCACATGAAACAGACAGGTAGCTCGGAGGGCTCCGATAATTTTGCACGCAACTGACCCTGGGTACGTGTTCAGTTAACGTTAAAATTTCAAAATTATGTTAAGGTACTTACCTGACATATAATTGGAATTATATGAAGCCGTAGGAGGAGAGACTCACCCTGTATTATTTTCCACTTAATACGGTCTGAACCAACCTTTAAATAAAATGGAATGTTCCTCCATTCATAAAAATGCAAATAAGCCTAGGCCCCAGACCATAAATACCACTCCCAACCATTGAAGCTGTCTCTTTGTAGCTAATTGAGAGGTTACTGGCAGTATTTTTGCCCATGGGTGGGCAAAAAGAAAATGTTTTTGATATGCCGAGGGAGGGGGTGAGTCTCTCCTCCTACGGCTTCATATAATTCCAATTATATGTCAGGTAAGTACCTTAACATAATTTTGAAATTACATTGTATATTTCAGCCTAGTCGTCAAGACTCACCCTGTATATTTCAAAGCTTGACCGAAGTCAGGACAGCTGCCCCAAACTCTGAGGATGTGACTTTCCTCTTGTAGAACCTTGTAAAGGTGTTCTCAGAGGACCAATCTGCTGCTTTCAGGATCTGTGCTGTAGACACTCCTGCTCGAGCAGCTGTTGAAGTGGCTGCTCCCCTAGTAGAATGTGCTCGGTAATGAGACACATCTATTCCGGATGAGGCCATGATAGTTCTCAGCCAACGTGCAATAGTGGAGGACACTACGGCATGGATAGATTTTCCTTTACCCTGTCCCCGGAGAGGTTTCGTCTGTTGAAGATATACTTCAAGAGCTTTAACAACGCAGAGCTTACTATCAGGAGGGTAACGTGTCAAAGTCACTTTCTGAACAGCTTTACTGGCTGTTGAGCACTTTCCCGGTTTCACTGGGTAAACACAAAGGCTGTTCTTTTCTTCTGCATGAACTGTAAGTTCAAAGCAACTAAGGATGAACAGCGTCCAGCTGTCAAGCCTTAAGTTCAACTCTTTGTTGGGCGGAAGTGAACAGATGTACCTTAACACCTTCCCAGTGTCCCAGGTTGCACAATATTTTGGTTGCGGTGGACAGATGTTAAAGATTCCTTTAAAAATCTAGACATGAGGGGATGCTGACCAACAGGGACCCCTTCCACTGGAACATGTGCTGATGAGATTGCTGATCTGAAAACGTTAATTGTTTTATATTGCAGTCCTTCCTGTAAAAGACTGTGCAGGAACTCAAGGATGTCAGCTAGAGGTGCTCGAACAGGATCAAGTTGCCGTCGAACACACCAGTGGTTCCATCGGTGCCAAGCTGAATTAAACTGGGCGTTGGTGCCACTGCGCCATGATGATAAGATGACGGAGGACACTTGCTGCGAAAAACCTCTTGCTGACACGGATCGCCCGATAGCTTCCATGCGGCTAGCTGCAAGGTTTTCCGCATTGCGTGATATTGGCCGTTGTGACATGGCCTGAAACGGTCCAGCTGACGTGGAAATAGCACCGGCGTTTCTACTGCGAGTTCTAATAGCCGTGGGTACCAAGGCTGTGTTTTCCACACTGGAGCTATCAGAAGGACTAAGGCTTTTTCTACAAAAATCTTTTGCAGACATTTTGCAAGCAGTGCAAACGAGGGAAACAAGTAACCCTCTAGGTTTTTCCAGTTGATGGTGAATGCGTCTACCCGCCAGGCTAGAAGGTCGGGTAGCCATGACACAAACCGTGGAAGGTGTGTGTTGAGACGGGATGCAAACAGATCTACAGATGGGCAGAACCCCATCATCTGTGTGACCTCCTGGAAAACACCCGGAAGTAGTTGCCATTCTGTTCTGTCACTGAACACTCGGGACAGATTGTCGGCTACTGTATTTTGAACCCCTGGAAGGTATTCTGCTGACAGTGTCAAGTGCTTGGCTAAACACCATGTCCATCTCTGTACTGCCAGACTTGACAGTACGTGGGAGTGCGTGCCATCTTTGTGATTGATGTACGACAGGGCCGTCATGTTGTCCACCTGTACGCGGATGTGAATGTTCCGTTGCTGGCTCACTAGGGACTTGAGGGCATAAAACACTGCGAGTACATGTAGTTCGAGGTTGTTTATGTGCAAGGACTGCTCTTGTAGAGACCATCTGCCCCCGCACTGCACCTTTCCTAGGCAGGCACCCCAACCCCAGAGTGATGCGTCCGTCTGAATCATTAAGTCTGGAGTTGGGTTGAGAAGTGTTTGGCTGTTCCACAACCTGATGCAGCTTATCCAGGTTTCCAGTTCGGTTCGAGAAGCTGGAGAAAGAATCACCTCGGTCTCGTAAGAGTTTTCTCTGTGCCGGGCAATCCCTTTGTCCTGTTGTAGGCTGCGGTAGAACAGTGGTGCCGGAAAGACTGCCTGAATGCTCGATGATAGGCGGCCAATGAGCTTGGCCAGATCTCTCACCGTCAAGTCTTTTGCTTGCAGAACATCTCGGCAATGTGTCATGATCTTGTGTACTTTCTCTGTCAGCAGGGACAAAGTCATGGTTGATGAGTTGATGAGGAACCCGAGGTAAGTCAACTGGTGCGATGGGACAAACTGAGACTTGTCGTGTTTTATGATGAACCCTAACCTCTGAAGTAAGTCGGCTGTGGTTGTCAAGTTGAAGTTGTCCTTGCAATCCTCTGACATTTTGCCCAAAATGAGAAAACGAAGGTATTTGCGGTGTTCCGTGTGAATGGGGACCATGAAGTATGCATCCTTTATGTCGATTGAGCCCATGAAATCCCCTGGGTTAAAAAAATCCTTGACTAGTTTTATGCCTTCCATCTTAAAATGCTGGTAAAGCACAAACTTGTTTAGTGGCCGAAGGTTTGTGATCGGCTGAAGTTCTCCCGAGTTCTTTGGAATTAAAAACAGACAAGAAAAGAATTGACCGTCCACTGGATCTTCCAATGTGATTGCTCCTTTCTTTAACAACTTCTGAATCTATTTTTGTACTATTTCCACTTGAAGTGCGGAGTTCATGTGATTGGCAGGTACTCTTTCCTGCAACTGAAATGGTGGCCTTACAAATTCTATCTTGTGGCCGCAAACTGACTGGAGAATCCAGCAGTCCTGCGTAAGAGTTCTCCAGTGATGAACGCAAAATACGAGACGACCTGTCTGCGGGAACTGTCCTACTTTTTTGACTTGTCATCACTGCTCCGGTTGCCTTTCAACGTATTGTCACGGGTAGGCCATGATGACCGTCCGCCTCCATAACTGGTGGAACTGTTAAACAGAGTTGTAATGACTCGAGTCAATGACTCGACTCGAGTCCGACTCGAGTCACATTTTTTGGCGACTCGACTCGACTCGAGTCCCGACGGGTAAATGACTCGACTCGACTCGAGTCACTGCGAGCAAATGACTCGACTCGACTCGAGTCCCTCATCAGAATGACTCGACTCGACTCGAGGAAGGCTAATAAGACTCGAGTCCCAAAATAAAAGCAAAACTTACTTGCGAAAAATATTTGCAATGAGTTACGCTGCGCCGTTCGCGTTGCCAGTTTTTGTTCACGTCACGTTAATGTTCGCGAATAATGTACGTTTAGATACAGCGGCAGTCTGTTTCCTTCCTCCATAATGAAACAACAAACATACACCGTGTCGCGGACTCCCACCTTGTGGTTCTATAGCATGTAATGCTAAGCCCGGAACCAGACTTAAAACCATTGATCTCCATATGGAGATCAATGCTTAAAACGCATTTCTCAATCCGTGGTTTCATCATTGGCTTCGGGCGATTTTGAAGTTCTTGGTGGAACGCTGGCTAAATTCATGTCCCGATTTCACACAAGAATATGGATACGGACGGGCCCACCTTTAAATAATCAGAAACAGTTTTGTATAATGCAATTAGGTTTTAACGTTGTCAGCGATCAGCGAACAACAAAATCTAGACCCGAAGCCAAACCAGTTATAAGACCGAAGTTTCACATCTTCTTTTCTGTGACGTGAGCTAGCAATGGAAACTGTTAGTTGGGTACCATACAGCATACTTTATGTCTTTGGATTTCCGTAATAGACTGGTGCCTTGTATTCTTTCTCTCTTGTGTTTGTTGCTTTTTATTGTAATTTAATGTTCAAATATTTGTGACTCGAATTGACTCGATCTAAATACTTGACTCGACTCGACTCGACTCGACCACACTCTGTGACTCGACTCGACTCGACTCGACCTTGTTGACCTAATGACTCGACTCGACTCGAGTCACTTCTTTAAAATGACTCGACTCGACTCGAGTCACAAAAATCAGTGACTCGTTACAACTCTGCTGTTAAAGAAACGCCCACCTCGAAAGGAACGACTACCAGTACCTCTGAATTTTCTTGCTACCGCTGAAGTGTATGGAGAAAATCTGCTCTTTTTCACTGACAGAGACGCTGATCCAGAGGCCCCCTTAATGACTTTGGAAGCCAATTTATTCGCTTTTTCAGCTTCCTCAATATCCTTGACAAGGTTACCACCGAAGAAAAAATCCATCGAGGGTGCCTTCTTTTTCAATGAGTCAAAGCGTTTGTCCAGTATATCATCAAAGGCAGGCTGACGAGCTATGGCAAGGCTCTGGCTAGCTGATCCCAGCAGAATAAGAGCCGAGGTCACGTGATCCTTCACCAGGGTAGCGTCAATTGTATCAGGGCACAAAGGATCCACAAGGGCATCAAAAAGATGTATCAATGGAAGGGCAGACTTGAGAAGATGACCATGCGAATCTTTCAGGCAATCATCTTGAGAAACTAAGGAAGCCTGAGCTTCTTTAAAGGAAGATCTCACCTGGCTGGGAAGTTCCAGAGCTTTGAAATATTTTTCTTGCTCTGATGGGACGAGATTATTCAAAAGTTCTTCTTTAATCTCCTCATATCCAAGTTTGTTGGTGCGCAGATCCTCCCACCAAGAAAGCACCTTGTCAGTCACTGGCGTGCCAATGGCCTTGCGGTGCGGGTTGTGAAACCCATCATGACCGTCGGACCCGGAAGTACCCGAAGCTTCATCGGCGGCGGTGTTGTCGGCGACACGGTCAGAATCAACGGCAGAAACATCGTGTCTAACTTGACTTGAATCCCAACCAGCGGGGCTCAGAAGGGCCAAAGACGATGTAGTAGAAGCAGCGGGTGTGCGTTGTTGTCGAATTGGTGGCCATTGGGCTGCTATGGGTTGTCCAAACTGCCCAAACACGCCGCCATGTTGGTATACTGCCCTCTAGCGTCAGCGGGGAAATTCCACTGTTGAGTGGCCGGTTGTGGCGCTGGTGTGACGTTTCCCGGTGCAGGGGCAACCCAGGGCGAGGTTAAACCCGTACTGGTGTTAGCTATGAACTGTGCCTGAGGAACTCGAAAAACTCTCGGTGCCAAAGAGCGAGATTGCTGTTGGGAAACTGGGCAAGGCGACCCAATTTCCGGCTCATGGCTCTCTGCATGGCAAAGCTGGTCTCGAGCTCCCACCCAAGGCAAGGTGGGGTTGATTTCTCTGCCACTCCGGTCGACCCGTGGCAAGGCGAGGTCGGTGCGGCGGTATGAGCACTGGAAGAAGAACTTGACGTAGTTTTCTTGCTTACAGTAGGTGGCAGAGCTGTCTTGCTGGACGGCTTGCTTAATTTCTTGGTTGAAGATGAAGACATTGCGAAGCGAGAAACGTAGTTGAAACTCCGTAGTATTACAATATGTTAACCTAATAGAAAGACGAGTACATGAATACACGTGCGAACAGACCGTACCACGAAGAAAAAAGACGCGCTTCAATGGTTGGGGGTGGTATTTATAGGCTGGGGCATAGGCTTATTTGCATTTTTATGAATGGAGGAACATTCCATTTTATTTAAAGGGTGGTTCAGACCGTATTAAGTGAAAAATAATACAGGGCGAGTCTTGACGGCTAGGCTGAAATATAATTGTATTGTATGGGTCTTTATTTTTGGCAAATTTCTTCCAAATGACACTTCCTGAACACATGGATAGGCACAAACAGATTTCCAGGTAAGTAGGACTCAACTAGTCCGAAAATTTGGGACTCTCACTACAGTCCCAAAACTTAAGGTATCCATATCGTGCAAAAGTTTGTGCTGCATAATAAAACCAGTGTGAATCAAATTTGCAAGCTTCTTACTCACTACATTTTCCTCAATGTTCCCCAAAACTTCTGCCTCGCAAAGTTGCTGTTGTGAGCATTGCATCACCAAAAATTCAGCTTTTAATTCTAATTTTGCCGAGTTATCGAAATCCAAACGTGAGACATCCCGTTGATGTGTACTGCAATGCATTGTGAAAAAGACTCCTTAGCTATAGCATTTTCGTGTACATAAAACAGCGCCCTCTTGTTGATCTGAGTGAATGCAGAATGTTTCATTTTTTTAACAGAGGGCTGTGTTCTTTTGGCCATCGATTAAGTAATCTGCAAGGCACTTCGTGCATCTACCCAGAATACTTTGTGAATCACACACACGTTTCTAGATCATGGAGAATGACGTGGATGCTTTTTGAACTGCCCAAAAATTGCCTTAAAATTGGATTTAAGGTCTCCAATTTCGCAGGTGACATGCTTGCAACTATAGCGTTTTGTGTTGTGTGGGCATTAATTAGCCAAATGGGGAGTAAAAATACGTCAGTAGTAATTTTGCACGTTTTCATGCACTCACGGTCCCAGTCTGGTACTCAACCTGCATACGAAATGATGTGTACCGCGGATCGATTTTGCTAGGTTTGAAATGATGAGCGGGTCTAGCCTATGTCTAGCCTCATAAATGTGGCCAATTTACTGGACTACCTCCGTAACTAAAGGCCACGTTTGGAACATGTACCCAAGCATGTAGAACTTTGCCAAATTTGGATTTTCACATTTAGGCTAACATGTATTTGTAGTTTATACGCTTTAGAATTATACTCACCCTCTTTATAGCGATAGCAAATTTATCCTCCTTTTTCCGACATCCACTTTTCGTGTAATTTCGTGTTGGAATTTAGCACGCAAATGTGTCCAAACGAACCTGGTCATTTCACAAAATATAGATGTCTGAAAAAGGGGGAATAAATTTTCTATCGCTATAAAGAGGAAGAGTATCTTCTAGGCTAAAAGAAAGCATAAATAAACTACAAATACAATCATGACAATGTAAATAGGCCTAATAAATGTGAAAATCCAAATTTGACAAAGTTCTACTCTACTTTCTTGGCCCAACGTAGCCCCATAAATGTGGCCTTTTTACTGGACTGCCTCCGTAAACATAGGCCACACATCCACATGTACAAAAATCGTGTCGACTTTGCCAAATTTTGATTTTCACATTTAGGCTTAGTTTGTAGGATTTTTTTGCTTTAGAAGCATACTCACCCTCTTTATAGGCTAGTCAGAAAGTGCTGCCTTTTTCAGATGTCTAATTTTGTGAAATTTCATGTTGAAATTTTGATACGCAAACGTGTAAAAATGAATCTGGAAATTTCACGAAATATATACATCTGAAAAAGGCAGCACTTTCTGATTAGCCTATAAAGAGGGTGAGTATGCTTCTAAAGCAAAAAAAACCTACAAACTAAGCCTAAATGTGAAAATCAAAATTTGGCAAAGTCGACACGATTTTTGTACATGTGGATGTGTGGCCTATGTTTACGGAGGCAGTCCAGTAAGCTTTCGAGTCAACTCGTACCTTGGGCGACTCGTACCTTGGACAACTCGTACCTTGGACAACTCGTACCTTGGACATCTCGTACCTTGGATAACTCGTACCTTGGACAACTCGTACCTTCAATTAAGACGACTCGTACCATCAGAATAAAAAGTAGAGTACATGTACACTGTACGTGCGCGACTTAGTGTGTGGTTCCTTGACTCCCAAACGATACGATTCTTTTCAAGTCAAAGTTAATTTCCTTCTCACAGTACAGAACCACATTCAAGATCTAATGGCTTTGCCAGGCAGCATTAGTTTACGCATTGGGCCTGGCGGGCCGGCCTCCGAGGGCGCGAGCAGCGGTCGGTCGTGCGCGGTACCGATGCCGGTGACTCGGAAGCGGCCGGCGGTTTAACAAGTACACCCAAAGTGTCGCTCATCTATTGAAGCGTCGCTCATCTATAGAAGTGTCACTCATCTATAGAAGTGTCACTCATCTATTGAATTTTATAGTGGAGAAACTTCAGATGCGGATTTGGTGTGGTTTAATTATGCAATACAGCCTAACCACCGTAACATCCTGTTTCCAGAGCGAGCTTTATTAAACTCTATTAAAACCAACCGACAAAATTTATAAAAATCAAATTTAAACATTTAATGTGTCTAAATAAAGTAATTTCTGCGTTTTATTGTGAAGTCTAATAACCAAAGTATACAAGAGCAGTCAGTACTTTTAAATGATTCAGTCCTTTCCTAGCTATAAGTCTGAAAGTCTAAAATGTAAAAAAAAAAAATCACAGTTGGTTTATTCATCAACTGGTTTATTCGAAACATTTACAAATTGGGGGCGGGGGTTTGGCCACTTTTTTCTTCATATATATATCATCTCAATGATGGTCATTCATTGTAGAAATGATGGTAAGACGTGAATCTTGGATAAAAACATCAGTTCCATAATATTTTCACGTAGCCTAAGTCTCTAAACGTAACGGCAGACTGCATCAATGTCACCGTGCACAGACGTCCATATTGACCGGTCAGCGCGGCGCAAGAACTGTGTCACTTTGCACGGATGCCGCGTGGGCCTGTGCATGCCGCGCACACAGTGCGTGTAAGCTGCCGCGGCCGGCTTCGCGCTAAATAAATTCCTCTTTTTGGGGGCCCGGGGAAAGAGACCCCATACCAAAAAGAGATTCACCTTTATTTTAATAAGCAGTCCACTTCCAATGAGTTACGGTCCACTTTATTCAGCCTCGGATCATTATCCTGATTGACGGTACGACTTGTCTTACGCGTGATGGTACGAGTCGTCTTAACTGAAGGTACGACTTGCCGAAGGTACGAGTTGTCCAAGGTACGACTCGGTATAATGACGTCGAGTTGAAGGTACGAGTTGTCCAAGGTACGAGTTGCCCAAGGTACGAGATGACCTGTTACCTCCAGTAAATAGGCCACATTTATGGGGCTAGGCCCAACGGTACATATTCGGGTGTTCCAAGTGTGGCTTTCAAGCATGTCAAGTAGTCCAGTAAATTGGCCACATTTATGGGGCTAGCATAGGTATTGCATGGCAAACAGTGGATCTGGAGTCATCAGGTTACCGCGAACTCCCGTGGAGGAAATTCCTCCACCATAGTTCTACCTGCACATGCTGCACGTAGACAGACAGCGATTTGACCCCGTGGCATTATGATTTCCACAAGAAGACTGCACCAACCAGCCCATTGCACCATGGACAACCACAACCAGCAAAAGTTCAGACGTACACCATTGTGTGCCCATTTCATAGCTCCATGGCCTGGGTATATCAAACAAATAGAATAACTATAAATACAGAAATTCATCAAAAAATGAACAAATTAATTTCGGAATGAATACAGCTACTAACCGGATTGATGGACGATCACGATAGTACTGGTAGTAGATTATGTAGGTAGGCCTATAGTTCTTCGGCGCGGCGTTCACGTACAGCACGTACGTCGGATGGTCCGTACACGCATGCGTGCAGCGTTACGTCGGTAGCGCCAGCATCACACACATTCAGTGCGTTCGATTACTTCCCCCGCGCTTATTCGTGCAAGCGCGACAGTACGGAGCCCCTAAACGGACAGGCATGATGATTTTTTTATTTCGTTCCCTCGACTCGAATGATTACTTCGTCCCCTCGAAATCATTTTGTGCACTTTGCGGTACATTTAGTAATATAATGTAGGCCCCCTATTCTTAATAATTATTGTGTCTTACATAAAAATCTCAAAACGCTTTACAAAATATCAAAACCACATAAAAAGTAAACCAGTTGATTAAAAAATGACAATATTTAAAAATGTGCATTTGAATTTGTAAAACATGGAGTTCAATTTGGCGCTGGTTTCGAGAACGAGGTATATCCTAGTTTTATTTTCGCAATAACTTGCATTCATTTAATTTTGCATCATTCAAATAAATTAATGTGCATAGCTTTATACGTGAACAGACTCTTGGTTTCACGGATGCGATGCCGATTATGACGAATGTGCAATCCAATTCGCAGAAATCAATTTTTTTTTCATTGTAACACGCGCTGAATATGATTCTTTTTCATTTGTTTTAGCCTAATTTAAATTCGCATTTTTTGCATTCAATTTACATAAAGTATACAGGCCTATACAAATTATGATACAGCTTTGTATTTTAGGCCTTATTGATTATTAATGTGTTTGTTCTTATGACACAAAGCCCTATTTGAAATGAATGGGGAAAAATGTTTAACTGATATAAATCTTACCAAAATAAAGTCAATATTATTGGGACGATAAAGAGAAACTTGACGTGTCACGTAACATGGGATCTGGGGACTTTTTATTGTTGGTTCGTTGTCTTTTTATGTCATTCTGTATTTCTTAAAGTTCTTTCTCATTTCATCGGTTCGATTGCTTGGTTATATGATACGATAGGCTTTTATAAAGGATGTATTACTTTAGCTGGTACCCGTATGTTTCAAAAGGCTACACCGCTTGGTTTTAGTTCAATCATCCTGAATTTTCAAACATCCATCAAATAATTCAATCAAACATTCCTCATATGTTACTTTTGTCAACGCTTACATGAATTCCAATGCTTGACCAGGCACAGGCCTATGTTAAATAACACTGCGCGGGAAAACGGCTGCACATTAGCGAATACATTGATGATAAATTAAAAGGAATACAGGAGGGGGGATGTGCCTAATTCGATTTCGCGCTAAAATGACATGTCAATCTATATTCAGTGCACATTCGGGAAATCGAATTGATAAATAGAAACAGGGAATTTTAATGTTCAATCTATTTCGCACGAAAACGAATGCTGCTTTTACAAATTCATGTTCACATTTTCCAAAATTGTCCGGTAAACCTATGGTTATATAAAAAAAAAAGAATCGTCTAAAGCATGAAACTATACATGCCGTAACAACACTTTTCAGACATGGAGGCATTTCATATCTGACCTCTGGTGACTTGCGAGCCGCTATTTATCAAATGTAATCTTGCAAATTATACTTTTTCATGACCCTAATAGTGCAAAAGAAGTGATTTCAACAATTATTCTAAAAGCATGTCAAGGTTTCAAGGTTCAAGGTTGAGGTTTATTTATTTCCACAACATCAACAAATTATTTACGATGTCAATTATTTCATATTCACTTTTTGGTATATAAGAAATCTTTAAAATTAACAGACGATTGTGTGGCCTGTATCACTAACGAGAGTTGTGCCAATGTTAATAAAATACTTGTTGAAACCGTACAATTGGCAATTTCAGCAGCGTCATTAATTGATGTACCATCTGAGATGGTGTTATTAATGGTTTGGGAAGATTTTTTTGTTGTTTAAAACAGATCGATTACTTTCCAAGGATTACGTACGTTGTTCCTTTTCTGTTTGAACGGACGAGCATAATACATTTCTTAGGTGAACGTTATAGGCTAGTTGGATTGGACAAATAGTTATGATATACTTTGTTCTTATTTCGCTAGGTAAATTTGAGCTTCAGTTGAATTTCTTTCGTTGATTGTGTTGGATGAGACAATAATTCAAGGAATCCATAGATGCATCAAATGCATCTTCTGGATTATTGCAAATAAAGACTTCTGTCCAATTAATCAGTGGCTAACATCGTTAAATTGCTTAAAGTTAATGTTGGAAAAGCTATACGGCAAAAGAAGAATAGGCCTATGTATTTCGACTGTTTGGGCCAGAAGTGTCCGAGTGAACATTAACAATCGGTAGGTGATCTGAAAAACCTGTTATACATGATTTGGGTGAAGGTAAAATGTTTCAAATTATTATCATCTATGAGTGTATAAGCATATGTATTAGTAATACGAGTTGGCTTATTAATTAACGGGAGAAGAGAATGGGATGTTATTAGATGGTATTATTATTGTTTTGATTTTGAGGATGAAAGATTGGAAGCAAGAGGTGGTATATTTAAATAAATCAATATTGCAGTCTCCTAAAATAATACCATGATTTGTTTTGAAGAGAAACAAACATTTGGGAAAGTATCCACAGATTTCTCGTGATCGAGTGAAGGTTCTTTATATACAACCCCTGAAATAACGTTTTTAGCTTTGGGAACAACCACTTCGATAAAAAGCAATTCATTCGCAAACTTGAGGTCTTCTCTAACAATGAAATTCATGTTAGATGAAACATAAAAAGCAATTCCACCTCCAGCTTTAGTACACTTTCTATTGTTACAATGAGTTCATAGCCAGGCAAAATAGAGTGAATATAAGGATCAGCTTTTAACCACGTTTCAGAGAGTGCAATAATTGAACATTTACGAGTTAAGGACTTCAAGAAAATATTACGTTTTTGCAAAGTTTTGTTTGCAAACTCCTTCAACACAGCTCTGGTTGATTTCCTGAGTGAGGGATCTGTTCAATGGAATGGTAAAGAGAAGGATTGGATACGTAAAATGGTTGATTTAAATCACTGTCATCGTCGGTAATTGAGTAACTAAGGTTAATGATCACAAGACGAATCAAATTGTTGCTGGCATGTTGCTGGCATGCAGTACACATGAAATAAAGATCTGTATGAACAAGTACAAGACAATACATCATGCATGTATGGATTTATAGTTAGGTGATTCAGTAAATATGGGCTATACGGTACAGTTGATCCATTAAAGCACGGATTGATACTTTTCAAAAGTGATGAATTCAGACCGCCTGAAATGCGAATGGTCACTCTGGGCTTCCGTATAATTATTTCAAGGGAACGAAATAATATTTTGAGGGAATGAAACAATTATTTCGAGGGAACGAAATAATATTTCGAGGGAACGAAATTATTTCGAGGTAACGAAATAATATTTCGAGGGAATGAAATAATATTTCGAAGGAACGAAATAAAAAAAACCCCAAACATCATGCCTGTCCCTTTAGGGGCTCCGTACGACAGTGTTCGATTTACCTCTCACGTGACTTCTCGCGCTTACTCTGCGCTCGTACCCCCCCCCCCCCTCCCCCCCCCCCCCCCCCCCGCGCGCCCTGGGCAAACAGCGGGGGCCGGGGGGGGGGGAGGGTACGAGCGAACGCTATCCGAAAACTTCCCGTAGAATGCGCACATTCCATACCGGATGTGATTTCTGTTTCATTGCGGCCCATGTGGACAAAATTTTGAGCGTCGCATAGTGCAATCCGACCGTTCGTGAGTTCGAAACGGAGCCCGAGCAAGTGACGGGAATTGTAAATTTGCAACACATGTCAGTTTTTAGAGAATTTCCTACATTATTACACTTTTCAACGAAAAAAAAAATTCTCTAAACTGGAATAAAAGAGTAATGAATCAGTCTTAACGGCCGTTTCAAACCTTGCAGAGTCATGACCGTGCCAACCTCGTCCCCAGGGTGTCGAGCAGTACGCGCCCACCACTACCTGCTCTCTCACCCTGGTATTGGATCATTTGCATGTGCAAGATTTTTGAACACGTATGCAAATGAGGAACAGTCTGGTGCCTAGATATGCGTTACACATTAGCGTTTGTTTTTGTATGCGGTGTCTGGGGTAAAAACAGAGTCAATTCGTAGCAGCGCGAGTACGGCGTGAGTTACGAAAACACGATTTTTAAAATCAAACTGTTACGATCTTATATCGAGACAACATGCAGTATCATATTTCATATTAATATGAGCAAATTGGAAAGGAAATTAGTATTTTCGAGAAGGCGTGGACGAATGATCGCGAAAACACGTACTACACGTTGTGAATATATAGCACCAAGTACACGATAAAAATCCATTTCTAGCCAGTTGCGGTATCCAATCAGGATACAGGAAGAAAGTTTCCTATCCAGGGTTTACTATAATATTGGAAACGCGGTTGGAAATAAAGTAAGCACTGGGGACGGAAACGCGGTTGGAAATAAAGTAAGCACTGGGGACGAGGTTGACCTGACCTAAGATTCATCAGGAATAGTCGGAATCTTTTGATCTGGGAACCAGACTATTTGCAGGGCGGGGGTACCGGGTACGAGCGAAGTGAAGTTCCTGCAGACGTACGTACATATGTACATGTACATGTACATATCCGTCCTCAAGCCGTGAGTACAGTACGGTGGGCATATCATTCTCTGAACGGGCACCCCCTCCACGCCCGTTACAATATGCACTGTTGCGCGATGCAAAGCATATTATATTTTCCCCTCCATCCCAAATGGTCGAGCCGAATGTAGAGTTGCTGACCGTACCGGCCGAGGTCACGCGAAGATCAGCGCACGCGCAACGTATGTCATGTATGTAAACACACACTTGAACATTCGTGCATTCGTCAGGTCTGACATGTCTGAGACGCGAGGCTGGTGAGTAAAAACTCAGATTTTCCACCCCCAAAAATTGTCCCATGATCCAAATGTCAATTCACAATTGTGGGAAAATAGGCCTTCTCCGAAAATATTTCAGAGTTATGGATCAACCAGCTCAACTTTTTTGGTGGATTTGCGTTTCATAAAGTGGAATTTCAGACAAAAGTATTTCGTCTATCAAACTGGCATTTCCAAAAGCTAGCTGGAGTTACCCTAGTCCGAGTAACTTGGACCCAACTTATCGCCTTTTTAAAAATTTGGACATGGTCTGGCGATAGTAGTCCAAATTTTTAAAAAGGCGATAAGTTGGGTCCAAGTTACTCGGACTAGAGTTACCCAGCCCTGAGTTTTATCATTGGGTTGTCATCTAGGGCTGGAGCGAGTTTTTCTCGTAACTTGTAGTATAGGCAAAAATTTTTGGAAAATGTTCAATTTTGTCCCCGTTACACACTAATTGCAACTGCAACTCACCCCAAACTTGCCTGGAATAACCATTACACAGGTCCTTGAAGTAAAAAACGATCCACAATGAAGATTCAGCCTACAATTGCAGTGAAAACAGGAGGAATAACCGCTAACTTGACAACCTTGCTGGATTGGCCAGGACCGCAATTGGTTTGTGCACAAAAAAATTGTGTACAATGAATGGCGGTCGATTAACAGGCACAGAGAGCGATCGCTGTCAACTACTCGTTTTTGCCGGCTGCGCTGGCTGTTGGCGCATGACGTCACGCGGAAGCGTAACACCCGATGACTGTTTCATGCACTAATATAAGGTTTACCACTCGCATCACAGCTTTGGTACTGGAACCGCAACCAATAGTGCATGAAACAGTCATCGGGTGTTACGCTTCCGCGTGACGTCATGCGCCAACAGCCAGCGCAGCCGGCAAAACCGAGTAGTTGACAGCGATCGCTCTCTGTGCCTGTTAATCGACCGCCATTCATTGTACACAATTTTTTTTGTGCACAAACCAATTGCGGTCCTGGCCAATCCAGCAAGGTTGTCAAGTTAGCGGTTATTCCTCCTGTTTTCACTGCAATTGTAGGCTGAATCTTCATCGTGGATCGTTTTTTACTTCAAGGACCTGTGTAATGGTTATTCCAGGCAAGTTTGGGGTGAGTTGCAGTTGCAATTAGTGTGTAACGGGGACAAAATTGAACATTTTCCAAATTTTTTTGCCTATACTACAAGTTACGAGAAAAACTCGCTCCAGCCCTAGATGACAACCCAATGATAAAACTCAGGGCTGGGTAACTCCAGCTATCCAAAAGCCATTAATCAGAATGCTGACCCTTGAAAAAAGAGCATGCCAGAAGGTAGCTTGAGTAACTCCAGCTGACATGCTCCATATTCATTCACATGTAACGCTGGAGGCATAACCTGTTCGTTAAAATGTGGTACTGGTAGCAAGAGACCCTAAAAAAATGGCCTCTCAAAAATTGTTCATTTTCACCTCTAATATCCCACCCCAGATTTCATTTACATACCTCATAGGATGGAACGCCGTATTATCGCGGTACTTATCACGTTTCTCGTTCGGAATAGAGTTTACCCACTAACCTTCCAGAATTGTCCTGTCTTATGTGTAGTATAACTCTTCCTTTTTAAATTAATATAAAAAAATCTGACGGGTGGTGTGGTTTATTCCGTGTACGATGCCTGTGAAAATAGACATGCGCGGCGTGTGCGAACGGAGGTGGACTCCCTATTATCGCGGTATGCGGGAAGTGGTTTTTATAATGATCCCAACTTTTTTGTTCATAGTTTATCTTTGACCAAAACACCCCTGAATAAAGTCTGATATTTTCCCTGTAACGTTCAAGTTGATTAAAGACAAATTTTCTGCAGGATGATTTCTTAAGACCCTGCCCTTCCCCCGAAAAAAGAACACAAATCCCTGAGGCAAGTCTACTGATCGGCGATTGAGGGTGCCATTCACTTTACACGGTGTGCTTGTTTTATTTTCGCTAACGCGCGGTGCTTATTTTGATCCCGTAAAAGTTGTTACGATTTCGCGCTGCAAATATCGTCGTTCGACTTCATTTTACAATTGCAGCTGAAGAATGGGAACCAGACAATGGAACTTTCATGGACAGAGCGCAATTAAAGATTTATGTTAAAATATAAACGGTACCTTTTAGCAGACACGGTGAGGGAACATTTTGCAAGTTTTGGAAAAAGTTAATATTTATTAAAATCGTTACTAAATCCCAAAAGACACAACATTTTTTAATCGTCCTTTTTATACAACTCGGTAGAAAATCCTTGATGACTGGTGAACTGGATAAAAATCACCACTTGAAGGAGTTTTGACACTGTAAAAAGAGAAATTTCCCATGCCGCGATAATAGGGATGCCGCGATAATAGGGAGTCCGACTATACATTCAGCAGTCATTTATGAAGCCTAATGATCGACTTGAAACAGACCACAAAAAAAAATGTGAAAAATCTTGACGATTTCGGTGGCTTGTCCGTGAAAAAACGCCAGTTCCAACGGCTATCGTCCATTTTGTTTTGCTAATTATGTGAATGTATGCATCACGTGATGACATCGAAACAAATCTGCGCGCGCGATGTATGTGGGTACCACACCACTTTCAGGCGCCGCAAGTAAGTTCAATTTTCGTCTGGTGCCTTGTCGTGGAGAGCATTCTCATTGTCTTGCTTTCCGCGACAACGCACTTACGATCCGGACAAAAGGAATAGCCAGAAGGTAGACCCGTGAACATGGCTTGTAAACTACGCCACGCTCTTGTACATGTTCGAACCAAGCGAAATCGTCCTTCCGTGACAAAGACTGAACATTGCCTTACCGTGTGATAAGTATTCACATATCAAGCTTTCTTGAACATGTTGAAATCCGCTTTTACGCCAAATCTGGCATCCAAACGAAATTCGAGGTAAAATCTGGCAAAGATCTCGATGTCGAAGAAGAAGTCCTGCAACCTCCTCTGATGCATGTGAATTACTACCTGATAAATGCTGCGGATAATTTGGTATCGCACTGACGCTCCGGGCATTCCTTTTGTCCGGATTGTAAGTGCGATGCAAAATTATTAGCTGCGTTTATCACGTGGCCTCGTTATTGGCCAATCAGACGCCGCCTATCATATGCGCCACATGAAGCAGACGGGTAGCTCGGAGGGCTCCGATAATTTTGCACGCAAATGACCCTGGGTACTCGTCCAGGGTCATTTGTCTGGGTCACTTGTCAGGTTAAAATCTAATTTCTACACGTTCGTATGGGTCTTCATTGATGGCAAATTTCGTCGAAATGACACATCCTGAACATGCGGTAAGGCAACTTTAGATTTCTAGGTGAGTACTCAACATCCATACGAAATTATGTATGGCGGATCGATTTCACTAGGTTCCAAAATACACAACAGCGTGGCGTTGTATACATCGCCATGTTCACGGGTCTAGCCAGAAGGTAGACCCGTGAAAGTGGCTTGTAAACTACGCCACGCTCTTGTACATGTTCAAACCAAGCGAAATCGTCCTTCCGTGACAAAGACTGAACATTGCCTTACCGTGTGATAAGTATTCACATATCAAGCTTTCTTGGGTAATTCTTACTTTTAAGGACACCTCTATTTTTTACGAGTTCTGTTCAAAACTGACTTTTGCAGATGACTGTCCAGTACCAAAGTGACTTTTGCAGGCGAAGGCAGTCTTTTTCCTTCATATAAACTTAGCTTGAGTAACTCCAGCTGACATGCTCATAGTCCGAAAATTTGTGACTCTCAATACTGTGTATGAGAGTCCCAAAACTTAAGGTATCCATATTGTGCAAAAGTTTGTGCTGCATAATAAAACCAGTGTGAATCAAATGTGCAAGCTTCTTACTCACTACAGTTTCTTCAATAATCCCTGAAACTTTTACCTCGCAAAGTTGCTATTGTGAGCATTGCCTCACCAAAAATTCAGCTTTTAATTCTAATTTTACAGAGAGTTATCAAAATCCAAAGATGAGACATCATGTTGATGTGTGCTGCAATGCATTGTGCAAAAAGACTCCTCAGCTACAACATTTTCATCGTGTAGATAAAACAGCAGCCTCTTGTTGCTCAGAGTGAATTCAGAATGTTTCATTTTTTAACAGAGGGCGCTATGTTCTTTTGGCCATCGATTAAAAAACCAGTAAGCTGCAAGGCACTAAGTGCATCTACCCAGAATACCTTGTAAATCACATGCACGTCTCCAGATCGTGGAGAATGACATGGATGGTTTTTGAACTGCCAAAAACCTGCCTTAAAATTGGATTTAAGGTCTCAAATTTCGCAGGTGACATGCTTGCAACTAAAGCATTTTGATGTTTGTGTTTTTTTATACACCATTCGGCTAATTAATGCCCACGCATTAATTAGCCGAATGGTGTATAAAAAAACGTCAGTAGTAATTTTGCACGTTTTCATGCACTCACGGTCCCAGTCTGACATGCTCATATTCATGAATGTCAGACAAGTCGACCGTTGAGACAACTCGACTCGGGACAAGTCGACCGTTGAGACAACTCGACCGTTGAGACAACTCGACTCGGGACAACTCGCCCGTTGAGACAGCTCGACTTAATGGAAATGTATACACGTGGAGCGGAAAAAGTTGCATTTTTTATAAATCTGTGGTAGGACCGGTCCCGGGCACGGCGCGGACTTGATGCACAGAGGGCGCTCCGATACGGTGGCCATAGCTTCGGGCCGGCGCACCGGCGCCCGCAAGGACCGGGCCCGGCTCGGCATGCGGGCACGTCGACCGGCGCGGCAAGTGGGCGCACAGGCCCGGCAAAGACGATGCCACCGTGCACGCGCGCTACGGCCACGTTGACCGGGGATAAGTGCGCGCACAGAGCCAGGCAAAAACGATGTCACCGTGCACGGTACTGACAAGTTGACTCGGGATGCGCGCATGCACATGCCCGGCAAAAACGAACAATGTGCAAGGACAATCACACTGCGCTATTTCGGCTCTGTTATACTCAACAAAAAAACT